ATTATTTTTTTAATGTTTATTTTTTGAAAGAGCACAAGCAGGGGAGGGGCAGAGAGAAAGGGAGACACAGAATCCAAAGCAGTCTCCAGGCTCCGAGCTTTCAACACAGAGCCTGACGCGGGGCTTGAATTCACAGACTGTGAGATTATGACCTGAGCCGAAGTCAGACACTTAACCGAATGAGCCCCCCAGGCGCCTCCAGATATACTTCGTATATACAGTGCAATCAAGTAAAAAGTTTAAATTCTTATTTGGCCAAGGGAAGGGGAGATGGTTGGTCAAAGCCCTGGAGAGAGGCCCTGGAAGGGACAGCTAGACTCCCTGACCCTGACTTGCCACCCTCTAGATCCGCCGGGGCCCTAAGCACTCCTGGCCACCCCCGGCTGGCACGGAAGGCTGTGCTCCCTAGTACCCTGACCAAAGTGCTCCTAAGGGAGCACTGACCATCCACGGCATGTTACCTGCCCCAGTCAATCTGCAGCAGATATGAAGGGGAGTACAGGGCCTGCCCTGACCTTGGGGGAGTTTTCTGGTCACATGACAATCGTGCTCTGAGCAGCACTGGGCCAGCCCAGGTGAATGTCTAACCATGTGTTGTGGGTCGAATTGTGTCCCTGCAAATCCACACGTTAAAGTCCGAATCCCCGAGTACCTCAGGATGTGACCATTTCTGAAAACAGGGTCATTGCAGACGTCATTGGTTAAGAGGAAGCCATACTGGGTACTGCAGGGACCTAATGTGACCAGTGTCCTTAGGAAAGCGGGAAATTTGGACACAAGGTATGCTCGCAGGGAGGCGGCCATGTGAACTTGAAAGCAGAGATTTGAGTGATGCTTCTACTGGCCAAGGAATGCCATAGATTGCCAGCAAACCACTGGAAGCCAGGAGAGAAGCTTGGAAGATTCTCCCTTACATCCCGCAGAAAGAGCCAGCCCTGCGGACATCTTGATCTTGGACCCCTAGCCTTCTACGTTCAGCCTACTGTGAGACACTGACTTTCCATCGTTGAAGCAACTTGGCTTATGGTACTTTACTAGAGCAGCCCTGGTAAGGTAGGTAAACCCTACCACTCCTGGCTGTTTGCTACTGTCTCTCTCTCTCTCTTTTTTTTTTAAGTTCACTTATTTGAGAGAGAGAGAGGGGTGGGGAGGGGAAGAGCGAGAGAATCCCAAGCAGGCTCCCCAGTGGCAGTGAGGAGCCCGAACTTGCAAATCATGAGATCATGACCTGAGCCAAAATCAAGAGTTGGACTGCACCCCATGTTGGGTACTCTCTTATTCCTTTTATTTTTTGATGTTTATTTTTGAAAGAGAGAGAGAGAGAGCATGAGCAGGAGAGGGGGAAAGAGAGAGACACAGAATCTGAAGCAGACTCCAGGCTCAGTGCTGTCAGCACAGAGCCCGATGGAGGGCTTGAACCCAGGAATTGTGAGATCATGACCTGAGCCAAAATCAAAGTTGCATACGTAACCGACTGAGCCCCATGTTGCCTACTCTCTTTTTTTTTTTTTTTTAATTTTTTATTTATTTTTAGGAGAGAGAGAGATAGACAGCGTGAACAGGGGAGGGTCAGAGAGAGAGGGAGACAATCTGAAGCAGACTCCAGGCTCAGTGCTGTCAGCACAGAGCCCGATGGAGGGCTTGAACCCAGGAATTGTGAGATCATGACCTGAGCCAAAATCAAAGTTGCATACGTAACCGACTGAGCCCCATGTTGCCTACTCTCTTTTTTTTTTTAATTTTTTATTTATTTTTAGGAGAGAGAGAGATAGACAGCGTGAACAGGGGAGGGTCAGAGAGAGAGGGAGACACAGACTCCGAAACAGGCTCCAGGCTCTGAGCTGGCAGCCAGCACAGAGCCCGATGCGGGGCTCGAACCCACGATCCGCGAGATCATGACCTAAGCGAAAGTTGGACGCCCAACCGACTAAGCCACCCAGGCGCCCCCCCTACTCTCTTCTTAAATGGTCCTCAAATAGCCATCGGTGTGCCTCCTGGTGACCCGAAGAGAACGGTGCTGCCTTGCTGGCTCCTTGGGCAGGGGGCAGGGGGGGCTGTTTTTACAGCTCTGGTATGAGATTCTTTAGGCACTTGCTGAAATGCAGATTTCCTGGCCCCGCTCCAGATCCACTGAGTTTGAATCCAAGGGTTGGGGCTAGAATCTGGATTCTCAAAGATTCTCCCCAGCTGAACTTTGCCAGCAGACTTTTTTTTTTTTTATAACAGTTGTTTACAGAAAAATTGAGATGACGGTAGAGAATTCCCACGTACTCAGCACGGAGTTGGCAATATTATTGTGCTAGTAACACTTTCGTTAGTATATTTGTTACAATTAAAGAACCAATACTGACATGTTACTATTAGATAATGTCCAGAAATTATTTAGATTTCCTTTATTTTTTAAAAATTTTTATAGTTTGTTTATTTTTGAGACAGAGACAGAGTATGAGTTGGGGAGGGGCAGAGAGAGAGGGAGAAAGAATGAAACAGACTCCAGGCTCCGAGCTGTCCGTACAGAACCTGATGTGGGGCTCGAACCCACAAACCGAAAGATCATGACCTGAGCCGAAGTCGGATGCTTAACCGAATGAGCCACCCAGGCGCCCCAGATTTCCTTTATCTTTACCTAAAGTAAAGGATCTTTTTCTGTCCCCGGAGCTCACACTACATCTGACTGTCATGTCTCCTTGGCTCCTCTTGGCTGTGGTGGTTTCCCAGACTTCACTACTTTTGATGACCTTGATAGGTTGGTTTTCTTTAATGTTTACTTATTTTTGAGACAGCACACGTGGGGGGAGGGCAGAGAGACTGGAGGGGGACAGAGGATCCGAAGCAGGCTCTGTGCCGTCAGAGTGGAGCCCGTGCAGGCTCAAACCCGTGCGCCATGAGATAGTGACCTGAAGTCGGCCACCCAACTGAGCCACCCAAGTGCTCTGATGACCTTGATAATTTCAAGGAGTACTAGTCACATATTTCATAGGACGCCTCACTACCAGAATCTGTGCCATGTCCTCAGAAGACTGGAGCCATGGGTTATTGGGATGAAGACTACAGAGGTGAAGAGCCATTTTCATCACCTCCTATCAAGAGGACATAGTGGAAACGGCAACAGCTTTATGACTGTGGCTGTTGACCTTGATCACCTGGCCGACACATTTGTCCAGCTCCCAGCTGATTATTGTGCCAGATAAACAAGAGGTGATGGAGGGAAGGCCTCTGACTCTGTGACAGCTGTTAGGTCACTGTTCTGACGAAAGCAGCCACACAGGTGGATGGCTGGGCGGCTCACTCGCACAGCGCAGGTCTTACCCGTGACATCACCATGATGTCATTTGTCACAACCCCGCAAGGCAGGCGAAATCATTATTCTCATGTTACGAGCAAAGGAGCTGAGCTCTTGAGGCTCCACAGCCAGCAGCCTACAGAGCCCCGCCTGTTCTGAGCCCCGCGCGGCCCCCACGGGAAGGTGAGGGCGCCAAGGTGGCTGGCGTCCCCTCTCCCCAGGTGACAGCAGGGACAGGAGACATGCAGTGTTTCCCCTCGGGGTCCAGACCAGAACAATAGCCAGAGGCCAACTTGCTCCTTCTACCCCAAATGTGAGTGGGAAATATCCACATGGATAGAGGTTAAAAGACAGCCAGACCAAAAAACAGAACAAACAAAAAACAAAAAACAAAAAAACCCTGTCCACATGGGATCGTGTCCAAAGCCTAGAGAAAAATCAAATTGGCAGGAAAAAGTGGCTACAAAAATCAGTTTTTGATAATTTTCCTGAGGGTATTAGAATAGAGTCTTTTTAGATTTGATTTAAGTTTATTTTTTGGGGTGCCTGCGTGGCTCAGCAGGTTAGGCATCTCTTTATCTCAGCTCAGATCATGATCTCATAGTTCATAAGAACGAGCCCCACATTGGGCTCTGTGCTGAAAGTGTGGAACTTGCTTGAGATTCTTACTCCCTCTCTTCCTCTCTCTCTCCCTCAAAATAAATAAGCTTTTTTGAGGGAGAGAGCACAGGAGCGTGAGTAAGTATGCACACATGCGTGCGTGTGGGGGGAGGGGCAGAGAGAGAATCCCAAGCAGCTCTACGCTGTCAGCACGAGCCCAGCGCGGCGCTAGAACTCACAAACCGTGAGATCATGACCTGAGCAGAGATCAAGAGCTGGACGAGCCACCCAGGCGCCCCAATTTTATTTTTTAAATTTATCTCTATATTGTGGGGCTCGAACTCACAACACTGAGATCAAGAGTTGCCTGTTCTACTGATTGAGCCCAGCGCCCCTAGAATAGAGAACCCTGCATACACCTTGTCCACTTACCCGGATGATGGTGACACTTGCTATTTGCTACTATTTACAACGCAGCTGTGACCGTCTATGTACCTACAATGTTCCCCAACCTGTGTAGGAAGGCAGGTTCCTGAAATTACCCACAGAGTCCCAGGGCAGGGGTGTTCTTAGTGCTGACACATAACTAGCAAGTTACTACTACAAGGTTACACAGTTGTGCATTCCTACCGAGAGCACAGATGGCCCATTTTCTCACCTCACCAATACTGGATATTCTCTTTTTCTGGTTTTGAGAGGCAAGGAAACGTCATATCTTTTTCATCTGTAGGTCTTTCATTATTGGTTTCCTGGCCACTTGGACTTCTTTACACACTTACACACACACACACATACACACTTCATGCCATTTGCCCAATTTTCTTGTCATCTTTTTTCTTTCTTATAAGAGCTCTTTATATATTATTGATATTCATTCTTAAACATATTGCAAGTATTTTTATCAGTCTGTCATTTCTTGGGGCGCCTGGATGGCTCAGTCGGTTAAGCGTCCAACTTCAGCTCAGGTCATGATCTCGCAGTTCCTGGGTTCGGGCTCTGTGCGGACAGCTCAGAGCCTGGAGCCCGTTTCAGATGCTGTGTCTCCCTCTCCCTCTGACCCTCCCCTGCTCACGCTGTCTTTCTTTCTCTCAGAAATAAATAAAACATTAAATTAAAAAACGGTCTGTCATTTGTTTATCACCTTTTCCTCTGTAAAGAAGTTTTTCCTTTTCAAGTGTTTCAAGGCTGTGGGTCTTTTTTCTTACAGCTTTGGAGTTTCATGTCACATGTTGAAAAGCTTCCGCCGACTCTTGCGTTCCGCACAGTTATCAGCTGCAGCTCAGCAACGATGCTTATCCTCTCCATCCCCCACCAGTGGCCTGGCCCTTCAGTGCCCAGCATCGTTCTCCAGCCCTGAGGCAGAGCTCGGTCCCCCAGGACCGGCTAGGGTTGGGGAGCACCCCGGCCTCAAGCTCTTCTCCAGCTCCACTGCCACCCGGGGAGCGGCGGCCTGGATGGCGTCCTGGATGCTGTGTAGGTCCCACCGGGTCCTCAGGAGGGCGTCGTCCAGGGTGAAGAAGCCGTCACGCGTGCGCCGCACTTGGGAGCAGACGGCCGTGGTCTTCAGCTCCAGGCCGATCTCGTGCACCAGCTTCCGCAGCTGCTTCTGCGTCTCGTGCATGCACCGCACCTCTGACAGGGGCACACAGACAACAGAGCCCGCGGTTGGGAGCGCAGCCTCTGGTGCCTGCGGCTCTGGATGCACACCCTGTGATACCTCCTGGCTGGGCGACGACCCTAGCGAAATATCTCCTCTCTCCAGGGCTCTGCCATTCCAAGTGTAGCCCAAGGGCCAGCCCCGAAAACTTGTTAGAGATGCAGAATCTTAGGCCCCACCCAAATCTGCAGAGTCAGAAAATCTGCCTTTAAAGAAGACTCCCCCCCACCCCAGAGCTCTCTCTCACTCAAAATGAATAAATAAATCTTAAAAAAGGGGTGGAGGGGCACCTGAGTGGTTCAGTCAATCGAGCCTTGGACCCCTGATTTCTTGATTTCAATTCAGGTCAGGTCATGATCTCACCAGTGAGATGGAGCCATGTGGAGTTGAGCGTGGAGCCTGCTTGAGATTCTCTCTCCCCGCTCTCTATTCCTCCCTGGCTCATGCTCTCTCTCTCAAAAAAAAAAAAAAAAAAAAAAAAAAGACATCCCCCCCCTCCCCAGTGATTTGGGGGCAGGTTAATGTTCCAGAAACGCTGCCCTAAGACTCGGTATGCTCGTCTATGAAATGGGTGGTTGTGAGGAGTCTAAGAGACCATCTACCTAAGGCGCTTAGCCTTAGGACTCCTGGGGGAGTCCTGGTCCGCAGGAAAGGAAAGGAGCCCTGGCTAGTAAGAGAGAGGAGGGAGGGGCTGAGCCGGGAGGCCTGGGGAGCGGAGGGTGCTGTCTCACGGCCCACTGCAACCTGAAACACTGCACCGATCTGGGAACGAGCTGCTAAGTCTAACTTGCTTGTTAAAGTCTGGCTCTAAAGAGCGACCCGGCAGCAGATAGGACAGCATTTGATCTGTGTGCTGTGTGACTGGCCAAGTCCAGCCCAGCGCGGAGAAGGAAGCTGGGCCCTGGCGCCTTAGCCAGCAGAGACCGGGGCTGCCGCGTGCTGGCCCCTGCAAACCCAGGAGCCCCATCTCACTGCTCCAACTTCTGGGGGCAAACCTACCTAAGAGGAATTCCGGAGGCGCAAAATGGAGGCATCGGATGCCAATTATCAGCATCGGGGACTTGTTCATGGGCCGGATCAAGCCTCTCACGGCCATGTCATAGGCCTCTTGGGTCTGTAGGTCAAGGTTGGAGTACCTGGGGATAAGGATGGGACCAGTGTGGGGTGGGGAGCTGGGCAGACTGTTCGCCTCTGGCCCTGCCCCGTCTCGTGAAAGAGCTTTCCTGAAGCTCTTCAGTCGCTTTCCATCTTCCCTGCCCTTCTAGCCACCTTCTTGTGTGTCCCCTCCAATCTCTAAATACAGGCTCCGCCCTCCTCTACACAGACCCTCCCCCAACAGCTTCCAGTCATGCACACGCTGCTGCCTGCTCCCACCCCCTGGTTCTATGTCATATGATGGGGGCTCCTGGTTTTCCTCTCCACCAAATCATATACTCCCACTTAGGCCAGCCAGGGTCTCTTGGTGCCCCCTGGTCTCCCCACGGGCTGGCCTGGCACAAAGAAACACTCCTGCGTGCCGTGGAAGGAAGGGCTGCTTCAAGTCTGCTTTCGGGCTCCAAAAAGATCCATGGAATCTGCCCCAGGGTGGGCGGAGCCTACAGGGAGCCCAGTGGGCACTCCTTGCTCTTCTAGCACCTCCTCCAGGGCCCTTTTCAGGAAAGTGGGGGTTGGGCCCCACTTACATCACCAGGGCCTTCTGATGGGAGCCTTGGATCAGGGCCAGGATTCGGTCCAGCTTCTCTCTGGTCACATGGTCTGGAAAAGTCAGGGGCTGGTCAGCACACAGGTGCCTGCTGAGGATGGGTAAACTCCCTTCCCCCAAACCGGCCCCGTCCTTGGAACCTGGAGGGGGTCCCAGAGCACCCTCTGGTCCCAGGGTTCCCACGTAGAGGGTTGAGAGTCCTTCGAGAACCTTGTGAAAGCCCAGAACCCTCTTCTCACAAAGTTGTACCTGAACTCAGCATTGTGAGGACATTTTCAAGGGGCTCATAGACTCCAAAGTAAAAACAGTTTCTTCTGGGTGCACCTGGGTGGTTCGGTCAGCTAAGCATCCGACTTCAGCTCAGGTCATGATTCATGGTTCAAGAGTTCGAGCCCCGCATTAGGCTCTGTGCTGACAGCTCAGAGCCTGGAGCCTGCCTCAGATTCTGTGTCTCCCTCTTTCTCTTCCCCTCCCCTGCTCGTGTTCACACACTCTCTCTCTCTCTGCCCCTTCCTTGCTTGTGCTCTCTCACTCTCTCTCTCTCTGTGTCTCTCAAAAATAAACATTAAAAAAAAGTTTTTCTGGAAATGAGGCTCAAAGCTATAATGTGATTTATCCAATATTCTAAGCCAGGTCCCCTGAGCCCCAATCTAGGGCTTCTTACGCCAGGGACCCTGGGAGGGAGAAAGCCATCTGTCTAAATGCAGAAACAGATGGCAGAAAGAGGGAGGGGCTCTGCCTGCTGGGCCCACCGAGTGACAAGGGCAGGCAGGTGCTAAGTCCAGGGACGCTCATGAACTGCTAGAGGGCTGATCCTGGTACCCAACTGGATAGGTGCCAACTTCTGACTCCAAAGGCCACAGCTCTGGGCACAGGTGTGGTGACCAGAGGCCTGCCAGCTTGGAAGGGACTAGGCCTCTTATCCCTTCTGTCCGGCTTTATTCACATTGTTGTCTCACCTGAAATGCACCCACCACTGCTTCCTCTCCCTTCATTTACAGCCTAGCTCAAATGCAGCCTCCTCCAAGAAGGCCTCCTGGAGCCTGTCACTTCTTTCTCCTGGCTCCTGCCACTCTGTACTTGGGTCCCTTTACCAGCATTTAATTTGCTTTGTTTTTAACTTTTTTTTTTTTTTCATTTTGATAAAGAGAGAGAGAGAGGGGGGAGTGGGAGAGATGGTGGAAGGGGGGAGACGGGGAGTGGGGGGAGAAAGAAAGAGAGAGAATCTTTAGGAGGTTCCACACTCAGCACAGAGCCTGACACAGGGCTCAATCCCATGATACGGGGATCATGACCTGAGCTGAAATCAAGAGTGGGACACTTGAAAAACAAAAAAAAGAAAGAATGAAAAAGAAAAAAAGGGCGCCTGGGTGGCTCAGATGGATAAGAATCCAACATTGGCTCAGGTCATGATCTCGCAGTCTGTGAGTTCAAGTCCCATGTTCGGCTCTGTGCTGACAGCTGAGCCTGGAGCCTGCTTCGGATTCTGTCTTCCTCTCTCTGCCCCTCCCTTGCTCGTGCGCTCTTTTTCTCAAAAATGAATAAATGTTATAAAAATTTTTTAATCTTCTTTAAGAAATTTACATTAATTTTTTTAAGTTTATTTTTTTGAGAAAGAGAGAGAAAGCACATGCATGAAAACACAGGATCAGAGTGTCCCAGACAGAGCCTGACGGAAGGCTCAATCTCATGAACCATGAGATCATGACCAGAGTGGGACACTTCGCCAACTGAGCCATCCAGGTGCCCTTCTTCTTTAAGAATTTCAGATTAGAGGGCACCTGGGCAGCTCAGGTCATGATCTCATGGTTCACAAGTTAGAGCCCTGCATCAGGCTCTCTGTCAGCACAGAACCTTCTTTGGATCGTCTGTCCCTCCCTCCCCCTCACTCCACTTATGTGCACGCTCTCTCTCTCTCTCAAAAATAAATAAACGTTAAAAAAAAATTTTAGATTAGCACTAACAAACATCTTCCCTCTCTTCCAAATTCTGCCTTCCTACCTCCTCGAGTGTCAAGTTGGTAGTTATCTTTAGATGTGTTTTGTACGCTGACACACACTCACATGTACAAATGTACAGTGTTACTCTGCCACGTTTCTAATCCTCTCCAGGCAATGTGGTGGTGTGTGCTTGCTCTCCCTGCTAGACTGTGAGTTCACTGAGATGAAGACCTCATCTGATTCATCATACATCCCCTCTCCAACCTCACTGCCTGGCACCTGGCTGGGGCTCAAATCTGTTAAATAAGACAATGAAATAGATCTTATGGAAAGTGTCAGAACATAGGGAGGGTAAGAAGGAAAGAAAGAGCTGTCCAGCCATCCATCTATCCATCCCCCATCCAACCAGCCATCCCCCCACCTACTTTTCATCCATGCATCCAACCAACAAGCACCTCCCATGTCCCAGGCTCTGCGCTGTGTAACCCCAGGAGTGGAATGACACAGTCCCTATTCTCACAGGTGACAGTGTAGTGGGAAGAGAGATATTAAATAATTACTAATCATTAGTCGATTATTGTTCTGAGAGTCCACCTAGTTCATCTGGGGGTTAGAGGAACTTCCCCTGGGGAGGTGACATCTATGCCAGGTGGGGAGGTGACATCTAGGCCCCGTGGGGAGGCTAAGGGGGAGCACAGGGCATTTGCTCCTAGCAGACAGAATGATGTGGCCAAAGCCCTGCAACAGCCAGCCTGAACTTAGTGTGTTGGGGTCACCAAAGGAGGCTGCGTGGCCTGCATAGGGGGGTGTGGAATCAAGGGAAAGGAAACACAGAGGCAGCTGCAGCCGCTCCCCCCTCTGCCCCGGGCTCCTGCGGGCTCTCACCATACGTGGACTTCTCCACCAGCCGCCCGTCCTCACAGAAGTCATCTGTGGCTTTGCCCAGGAGGCCGCGCACCGTGTAATCCTGCAGGGATGGGGAGGGGAAGATACGGTCAGTGTCCCTGCTCTCCCTCAGCACTGAGGGAGGCAGTGAGCCCTGCCGCTTAAACCCCCAACCTGCTAGACAGGTCGCAGGTGGGGGGTCCTCAGGTCTCCCCTCTGGGAGCACAGGCACTGAGAAACCCCCCCCCCAGCCACTCCACTGCCCCTCTCGGAAAAGGCACCAGACTATTCTATGACAGCAAGCACCTGCCTGCAAAGGACAGTGACAGCTCTACTGTGACCACCCCGGGCCTGCATGTCTCTCCTCTTCAGCCAAACCTGACAACTTATCCTCTGGGCCCCTCCTAGTGCACCCAGCTGACTTCTCCCCACCCCTCCAAATATGGTCTTTGCAGCTAACTGCCTCTGTGGCAAAGAAATGATGGCAACAGTGACAATAATTTATTGAGCATTTGCCAGTGACTGCTAAGTACGCTGCGTGTAGTTACTAATTTAATCTTCAGAGTAACCTTACAGAGGAGGCACTATTCTCTCGTTAGAATTGAGGAAGTGGGGGCACACAGATATTATGTAATCCACCCAGGGACCCGGAGGTGGCAGAGCTGTTTTGTTTTTCTTAATTTTAATTTTTGTTTATTTACTTATTTTAATATTTTTTATTTATTTTTGAGATAGAGAGAGTGTGAGTAGGGGAGGGACAGAGAGAGAGTGAGAGAGAGAATCCCAAGCAGACTCTGCATTATCAGCTTTACAGCACAAAGCCGGACACGGGCTCCAACTCACAAACCATGAGATCATGACCTGGGCTGAAATCAAGAGTTGGCCACTTAACTGACTAAGCCACCCAGGTGCCCTGAAGCTAGTCTTAAACTGAAGCCAGGCTCCAAAAACTGTGCTCTTACCCACTAAAACTGTAGGCTAACATGGCACCTCTGTCCCCACTCATGGTGCCAGACTCCATGGCCCCAGCCCAGATACAAACTCCCTGATGCCCGGACAGTGACAGTGACTCTTCTCAGTCTTGAAGACGGAATGGAGTGGTGTCATATTGGGCTCTGGTGTCGGGCAGATCCAGGTTCAAATCCCAGCTGTTCCTTATGGGCTGCGTGACCCCTGGGCAAGTGACACCCGCTCTCAGTGCCTTAGTTCTCTCATCTGTTAAGGTGGGCTAACACTAGATCCCCTTTTTTGGGGACGCAGTGAGGCATCTGCAAGGGAGTCCATGGGAGTCCACATGTAGTGCCTGGCACGGAGCAGCCCGCGCGTGGTAATGCCTGCAGTCGTTACTGTTATCCTTAGTCTCCCCCAGCACACGGCCATAAAACAAAGCTTGCTGATGTCTGGGACCTTTCCCCACAGAATCCTCTCGGCTTCAGATTCCCACCAATAACCCCCAGGGAAAGGATCAGAGGTTTCAAAGGAGCTGTCCCCGGCACCCCCATACCTTGGTGAGGTGACCATTGTACATGTCGGTGAGGAGACTGCGTCCGTGTCCCACGGCAAGCACTGAAAGACAGCCAGGCTGACCTCACACCTGCCTCCCCCTCCCCTGGGACCCCCAACCCCCACAGCCACCACCAGAATACTCCCACCTCCCATGCTACTAAAGCCAGCAGAGGGGCAAGGACAGCACACGTGAGCTCCTCTGCGTAGACAGGAAAATACCGATTTCAGGGCCCACTCTGACTGCTGGAGGGGAGCAGCTTAGGATCCTTAGCAAGCTCACCAACGGGATTCTGATCTGTTCCAAAGTAAGAGGCCACTGGCCCAGCCATGCAGACCTGCACTCGAATCTGGGATGGCTCTAAGCATGTCCTTTAACCGACCCGGGCCTCAAGCTCCCCATCAGCCAACTGGGGAGAAAAATGCCATCCGATCCCCGCAGCTGTTATGAAGACTGAGGCAACGCACAGGAAGAAATAAGCACAAAGGAAGGGCCCAAAAGAGGGGCACTGTGGCCACTCCCTGCCTTTTCCTGGCTGTTTCTCCCTCCGGCTGAAGGAGAGAATGACCCTTCATTCACTCCTGGAGAGAGAGCATGAGATCATGTCTGCCTGCTGTGCCCCAGGAAGTTAGATAAGGGGACTGTGACCACTGTGCATGGAGGATGTGGCCACCGCCTGACCCTGGGGGACACAGATGGCTCATGACTCAGGGCTTTGTGTGTCCAGCTCCAGCGACATTCAGACCCTGGCCAGTGGGGCCAGTCACGCGCCTGGCCCACACACAAGTGATGACCATTTTCCCTCCCTGGACCCGGGGCATTTAAAAGCTACATGACCCAGACTGAGTCACCTAAGCTCCTAGAGCCTTGTTTTTGTCATAAATTATAAATTATCTACCTAATAAGGTTGTAGTCTCAAATACATATGCACAAAGGGCTTTGTACCCCATGTTACATACAGGAATCACTTGATAAAGGTGGGCGATCTGTGACCTCTCCCCGTTCCCCCTTCTAGCAGCTGATCAGAGGTGGGGCAGGAATCAGGGGAGGGGGGCAGTGGTGGGAAATGGCTGTCAGGCTGGAAGTAAACTGGGTTCCTGGTAGCTCCCCAGTGCTCCCCTAAGCCTTTATTATTGCATCCCCAGGATCACCACACCACCTACCTAGCACCCCAGACGCCTGGGCATCTAGCCGGTGTCCGACGCCAATCTTCAAGCTGGTGAATGCTGGCCCGCAAACTGGAAAAAAACAAACAAGGTCCTTTTCCTCAATGAATCCAGCTTCTGGGATGACTGTGGCCTGCATGGTGACTTCATTCCTGGAATGTAGCCTCATGGAGCCCAAACCAGGGTGGGCTCTCGGGCTTCCCCACCATGGCCTCTGGGGCCTAGAACCATTTCCTCAGTTCCCTGGGCCCAGAAAAAGGCTTGTTACTCTGCTTATCATCATTCCCCCAGTGAGAGGCTTTGAGTAGACTGCGCATAACCCTGGGACTCAAGTTTCCTTATCAGCTGCTGCAAAAGGAGGCTCCTGACCACTCCAGCAAGAAAATGGACGTGGTAAGTTCCTGAAGTCAGGGTCTGGGTTCCTAATTCTACCCCCAGGGTCCAGAACTCACTAGATGCTCAGGAAACACCTAGTGAAAGAATGAACGACTCATCAAAAACATATACATTAAAACATGTGGTTTTTTGTATCTCAACAACGCCGTTAAAGAAAAAAATATATTGTACGCAGGAAATGAGCAAGAAGCATATACACTTCTACAAATCAAGAGGTATCTAAGGGAAGGATATGGGATGGTTAAGCGCCTACTGAATCTAGGCTATGTTACTTAATGTCAGCATTGACCCTCAGGTTCCTCATTTCAGAAATGAGAAGGGGACCCACCTCACAGGATTGTGGTGAAGATTCTATGAGACGGTATTGGGTAAAAGCTTAACACGGTATCTAGTACAGAGGGGATTCTCAGTACATTGTACTTGCTATTGTTAAACTCTCGAGTCACTAAATGTCACTGTCAAGGGGATCTTAGCGGCTTCTGGACAAGCCCCTCAGTCTTCCTAATCTTGTCTAGTGACATGCAGCTCATAATAAACCCAGTTCCATTCTTGGGCAGCTCTGTTAACTAAAAAAAGTCACTCTTTCCCAAGAGTCCAAAACTGCCTCCTTAGGACTTCTATCTGAGGGTCTCAATTCCCAGCTGGAGTCCCAGAATAGTTAAAAGGGGTCAGCAAACCACAGTCCACAGGCCATATCCTCAAACTTGTTTTTTCAACAGCCCATGAGTTAAATTTCTTTTTTTCCATGGCTCAAAAAAATCAACAGAATAATATTTTGTGACATAGGAAAATTATAGGAAACTCAAACATCACTTTTCATAAGTAAAGTGGCATTGGACAGCCAGGCTCATTGCTTTGCATACTGCCTACAGGCTCTTTTGCACTACAATGGCAGAGGTGAGCCTGCAAAGCCTAAGATATTTACCATCTGGCCCTTTCCAGAAAAACTGGTGAATCCCTGGTCAAGTACACCATCCCCACTGTGGCCCTTCAAGGATCTGGGACAGAAATCTGGGCACTGACTGGGACATGGACTCTGGCGGAGGTTTCCTAGAAAGTGACACCCAGGCCCTGGCCTGAAGGCACCTTACCCAGCGGATGGTTGGCGAGAGCGGGCACACTGGTGGCTGTGAGGGTAAGCGCTTTCTCTTCACTGCCTTCCACGGGGCCCAGGAGGAAACGAACACGCTGTTCGGGGGCAGGAGCCTGCCCAGCATTGAGACCTAAGTACACAAAGGTAAAGAGTATCAGGTCAATTTTCTCTGAACACGTGGGTAAAGTGGGACGAGGAGATGCAGAAGAGAAAGCCCATGATGTAGCAAGCAGCAGCAGTTAAGAAACAGACGAGCTCTGGGGCCCCTGGGTGGCCCAGTCGGTTAAGTGTCTGACTTCGGCTCAGGTCATGATATCATGGTTTGTGAGTTCGAGCCCCGGGACGGGCTCTGTGCTGACCGCGCAGGGCCTGGAGCCTGCTTCGGATTCTGTGTCTCCCTCTCTCTCTGCTCCTGCCCCACTTGTGCTCTGTCTCTATCTCTCAAAAATAAATGTAAAGAAAAAAATTAAAAAGAAAAGAAACAAACGAGTTCAAATTCTGATACTACTACGTATCGACTACTACTTATGACAACTGACATTACTGAATCTGTTTACCCATCTGAACGCGGGGGAAAACGAGGAGTAACGGAGTGTACAGAACAGACGGTTTGGAAAGCGATCGGCCCGGGGAACTGAGTCACGTGACTTTATTTTGCCGGAAGGATGAGAAGCGGAGATGAATTCCCGGGAGAACGGGAGCGGGGTTGTGGGTTCGGTTCGAGGCACTCACCCTTCAGAAGCTGCAGCTCCACGGTGTCCCGCAGGTGCTTCCATGTCAGCCCCGGGGGCTTGTAGACGGCGAAGAGCCCGTGCAGCCGCGCCAGCGCCAGGCGGCGGGACCCCATGCCCCACAGCCCGCGGCACCGGCTAGTGGAAGCGCGGCCCCTCAACGGAAGTGCAGTCCTGTCCCACTCCCAAATATGGTCCTGACCCTGGCCGCCGCCATGTTTCGCAGCCGGAAGTGGTTCGTTTCTTATTGGCCTCGGGGGAAACGCGATGTGGGGAGGGAAGTAGGGTCCGGCGCTAACTCCAGGCAAGCGGGACTGGCTTGGGAAAGCTTTCTGGTAGCGGGGAGAAACGGGGAGAGTTTTGTTCCGGTAAAAATAGGTAGTGGACAGGCCGCCTGGGTCTTCTGATACTTAGCGACAGGGCCCTTTCCTGGCCGTGCTACGAGTCTTCTCTTCCAGAGGCCTTTCAGGAGCGCTCCGCGGCGGGAGAGGTTTCCGGCTTCCGCCGGGCCCTGCTCACGGGTGCCCGCTGCCATGGCGACGCTGCTGCGAGCTGCCCTGCGCCCTCTCCGCCCGCCCCTCGGCCGCCGGGGGCCGGCTGCAGGCAAGTGGCGGAGGCGAGGGGGAGGCCTGGGGCGCCGGGCTTCTCTGACCTCGGCGCTTTTTTTGACCCGTAGACGTGCCGCTCCGAGGCGCGCGCCATGGCGCGGGCCTGCTCTACCCGGAGCACATCCCCACCTCCCCCCTGCAGAAGATGCTGCTGGCCGCGGGCTCCGCCGGAATGGCCCTCTACAACCCGTACCGCCACGGTAAGGCTGCCCGCGCGCGCCCTTGGCTGGAGAGCCTGGGCAGGTGCCCACCTCTCTCTACCCGTCGCCTAGGGGTAACTGGAGAATAAACTAGGCCGGGGTACCCCAGCCTGGCTGCACCCCATCATCACCCGCAAGGTTTACGAAAATGCAGATGCCAGGGTCCCACCCTGATCTCAGTCAGGATCGGCCAACCCTGGGGAAGAGAAGGGAGGGGAAGGGAAGGGAAGGGAGGGGAGGGAAGGGCCTTCGTGTTTAAATAAACTAAGTCCCAGAAGATTCTGTTATCCGGCCACATTGAGAACCTCTCCACTAAATAGATGATCTGTGTGTTATAATAACACGCATCAAATTAGAACATCCCACTACAAATTAAACTTTATGAGGTCAGAGACCATGACTGCCCTACTGCACTGTATCAGCAGATTTTTTAAGTAATCGCTACACCCAACGTGGGACTCGAACGCTAGACCCAGAGATCAAGAATCATACCTCAATGGACTGAGCCAGCCAGGCACCCCTCAGCAGTATTTTATTTTATTTTTTTTATATTTTTATTTATTTCTAGGAGAGAGAGAGAGAGATAGGGTAAGAGGGGAGGGTCAGAGAGAGGGAGACACAGACTGCGAAATAAGCTCCAGGCTCTGAGCTGGCAGTCAGCACAGAGCCCGACGCGGGGCTCGAACCCACTACCGCGAGATCATGACCTAAGCGAAAGTCGGACGCTTAACCGACTAAGCCACCCAGGCGCCCCCTTCAGCAGTATTTTAGATTGTGCCTTGGCATAACAAATGCCCAGTGTTTGCTGGATGTAAACATCTTAGGGTTCTACAGTACTTTTCTCATCCCTCTCAGGATTCTAAGTATTCTGGAAAGTACTATTACTCCTACTAATACAAATGATAATGCTAACTGCTCATGGAATGTTTATTCTGGTTGCTCACTGGGGCGCCCGGGTGGCTCAGTGGGCTGGGCATCTGACTTTGGCTCAGGTCATGATCTCGCAATTTGTGGGTTCAAGCCCCACCTCGGGCTGTGTGCTGACAGCTCAGAGCCTGGAGCCTGCTTCCGATTCTGCATCTCCCTCCCCTGCTCCTGCTCTGTCTCTCAAAAATAAATAAACGTTCTTCTGGTTGCTCACTGCAGTAAGTGTTCTATGTACACGGTGTTGTTGATTTTTCACATTAACCCTGTAAGAGGTATTCTCCACATTTTATAAATTAGGACCCTGAGGGTTGGAAGCAGTTAGCACAAGTTAACCTAAATAGTGAGATTGCAACTGAACCCAGACCTAGCACTCTGATGTCAAAGCTTGCACCTATCAATGGACTCATGATATTCTGTTGTAATAATGGGTGTAAAAGTGATTTGTAAATTCTTTAGAGCACTGTGCTAACCAGAGCCACCTCACCCCATTAGATTAATGACAATGATAGTAACTGTAGATACATGTATTTTGCGCTTACAGTCTGCAAGGTGTTTTGCTAAATGTTTAACATGAATCCTCATACCTAAGAGGCAGATTGTATTTCAGTTTATCATGTAGGAGACAGGCTCGGACCAGGTCTGGTAACTTACCTAAGATCATGTCCTCCATTTGTCCCCATTTCTTTCCTTTTAGACATGGTCGCAGTTCTAGGGGAGACCACAGGACTCCTTGCCCTGAAGGTGCTCAGGGACCAGATGAAGAGGGATCCAGAGGGTGCCCAGATCCTACAGTAGGTCCCAACTCTGCCTGGGGGTTCTCTGGGGATCCTGATCTCTCTGGGGCCACATTGTGTTCCTCTGGGGAGCTCTTCTTGATGCCCTGGCCATGGATGGCTGCACAGGTTGGGCACTACCCAACTCTATGGGCGCCATTCACATAACACACTGTGATGACCTGTGGGTAGTGCAGTGTAGTGGCCTCCGCCCAGTTCCAGCCACAGCCCATTGCCTTCCCTAAGCTCCCATAACAGGCTAGCTCTAACCCCCCACCCCTGCAATACCCGTTGTGAGCACCCTGATCACATCTGAGACCTGCCCCCTAGACTGTGCCCCTATGGGCAGGAATGTGGCCATAGCTTGTCATAGTCTCCTCGGCACTTGCCATTGTCCTGGCCAGACACAGGGGCTGCAGTAGGATTTGTGGCCCCATCTCCCCCTTCACTTCTCACGCTCTTGCTCTCGCTGGACCTCTCACCTCCCTTTACTACTGCCCTTCTAATACCTAACCCCTGCCTTCTGCCTTGCAGGGAGCGTCCGCGGATCTTATTGTCCACCCTTGACCTGGACAAGCTCCGTAGTCTGCCTGAGGGCTCCCTTGGCCAAGAGTATCTCCGTTTCCTGGATGTGAATGTGAGTTTCCAGCTTCTGTGCATTTGGCAATCACCAGGAAGGGCAGAGAAGGGCACGGGAGTGATGTCCTGAGGATGGAGGAGTCCTGAATGGCCGCCATGGGCAGGTGTGCTTTTTGTCCCTTGTGCCAAGGCTTTGTCATTTTCTATGGGACAGCCAAATGGGCCCAGAACTCCAAGGGAGAATACTGGCCAGTGTTTAGTAGCGTCTTACTAGGATAAAACAAAACAGAGCTCTCTTACTGAATGTCAGGTGCCAGGCTCATACCTGGCTTTGCCGAGCCCTCCCGGGTGTGTCTTTTTTTTTTTTTAATATTTTTTATTTATTTCTAGGAGAGAGAGAGAGAGTGAGAGAGACAGTGTGAGCAGGGGAGGGTCAGAGAGAGAGGGAGTCACAGACTGAAACAGGCTCCAGGCTCCGAGCTGGCAGTCAGCACAGAGCCCAACGCGGGACTCCAACCCACGAACCGTGAGATCATGACCTAAGCGAAAGTCGGACGCTTAACCGACTAAGCCACCCAGGCGCCCCCCTCCCAGGTGTGTCTTGTCAGGTATGTCCTATTATTACCCCCTTTAGGAGATGAAGAAACTGAGGCTCAGAGCACGGAAGCAACTTGATTCCATACAGCCAGTATAAGTGGAGGCAGCATTCATGCTTAGATCAGACCCCTTCCTCCCTTCCTCCCTTCCTCCCTTCCTCCCTTCCTCCCTCCCTTCCTTCCTTCCTTCCTTCCTTGATCTTAAGTAAATCTCTTCACCCACTGTGGGGCTTGAACTCCCCACCCCTAGATCAAAAGTCGCATGCTGTACCAACTGAGCCAGCCAGGCACTCCCAGATCATGCTCTCAACTGCTGTACTATGTCCCCCCAGTGATAGAGCGGGTGCTTTCCCTAGGGTATGACAAGTTGTGACACTCTCTGCCCCAGGCAGGGAGGACAGGAGCCAGTGGGGAGAGTCCCGGCTACTGAGGAACCCGTTCATTTGTTCAGCATCTTCTCTGTGCCATCCATGGTTCTAGGTGCTGAGGGTATGCTGATGAACTAAACAGACAAATTCCTGCTCTTGGACTTTGCTAATAGTCTGGTTTCGGGAAGAACACAATAAAGCAAGAGAAGAAAAAATTTCATGTAAAAAATTCAGGTCAAATATTTATTGACTACTTAGAACGTCCAACACTGTTCTCAGTAATTGAGATACAGAGACTGAAACTGGCAAAGAGCCTCCACTCTCGCAGCTGGTGCTATGAGAACAACGGCCAGCACGGAGGACGCGGAGGTGGGGTTGGACGCCCCCATGAGGAGACTCAGAAGAGGAGGAGGAGCAGGGGGCCTGGTGAGCGCAAGGCCCTGTGTATCTAAGGACAGGAAAACTGACCAAGGTGGCCACACAGAGGAGTAGGCGGGGCACCCAGTGGGTGGCAGGTCAGGCTGTGCCAGCCATGGGAAGAAGTCCGTATTTTATAATGGCAACAATGGGAAGACATGGAGGGTTTCAAGTAGGGTAGTAACATGACCCTATTTATTTTTTTTTCCATGTTTATTTTGAGAGAGAGCACGAGAGAGAGGGAGGGAGGGAATCCCAACGTGGGGCTCGATCCCACGAGCCGTGAGGTCACAACCTGAGCCAAAACCAAGAGACTGATGCTCAACCAGCTGAGCCACCTAGGCACCCTATGGCCTGAATTATAAAAGGGCCTTAGGATACAGCTGGGCCACCTTCCCTGTGTCAACCCTTCCTTCCCCAAATCCACAAGTTCCATCAAGGCACCCCTGTTGAGTGGCCCTCCAGGTTGCTCTAGACCTAGGCTTCTGAACCTCGGCACTACGGACTTTGGGGGCCAGTTAATTCTTTGTAGTGGCTGCCCTGTGTGTTCAAGGATGTTTAACAGGATCCCTGGCCTCTACGCATAGATGCCAGCAGCACTTCCATTAAGTTATGACAACCACCAATGTCTCCAGACATTGCAAATATCCCCTGTGGACAGTTGAGAACCTATTACTCTAGAAGATTATCATCCCTGAGAAAACCACCTGCTCCCCATGCTCTCCTGACACTTGCCCCTGCCCCACTTTCTACCGTCTCCTCAGATTTCACCAGGAAGCAAGTTGTTTCATCAATGGAAAACCCACCAGGGTGGCCTCCCCCAAGTGCCACCCAGGGAGGGACCGCCTTTCATCTTGTTGCTGTGGAGGGGATGGGACTGCCAGGCCTCCCTGGGCACCCTGCCCAGGCTCAGCCCTAGTTGTGATAACAGCCCTAGAGATTGACACTTCTAGGGCACTGAAACCAGCAGCCCACAGAATGTGAAGGAATACCTTTGTCCCAGCAGAGATTTATATCAAAGTTCAAGGTGAGGCCACCCTCCCTGAGGCTGACAGTGGTAGGGAGTATGGTCATCTTGTGGTATCAAGATTTTGAGCATGGGCTCTGGAGTTAAGAGTAGCCTAAGTTAGGATCTTAACCTCTCTTCCTATTTATGGCCCTGAGCAAATCATTTGACCTCCCTGAACCTCATAGTACTTATCGGAGGTAAGGGAACCTAATGTTTATCTGCCAGGGCACTTAACATGGCGTATAAATAATGGATGTTGAGGCCACTGGCTTTGGAATCGATAAATATAGTTGTCACCATGATCACCTTCAGCTTCACATGGCATGTGGAAGAAATTAGGAGGGGCACCTCGGTGGCTCATTCGATTAAGTATCGGAGTCCAGCTCAGGTCATGATCTTGCAGTTTGTGAGCTTAGCCCCCACATTGGGCTCACTGCTGTCAGCACAGAGCCCGCTTCAGATCCTGTCCCTCTCTCTGTCCCTCCTCCTCTCGCGCTCTCTCAAAAAGAAGTAAAACATTCAAAAGAAAAGAAGGAGGAGAAGAAATTAGGGCCTGGGACCCAGTGAGATCACAGATGCAGACCACGGCACTCAGCCAGCAGCCCAAAGCTATGAAGACATCAAATCCTTTGCCCTCTGAACAGGCTGAGACCGTGCTTTCAGGACAGGAGCACCTCGCTGTTCCCTTTCTGCATGGGTGCTGCTGAGGACTCGAGAGGCGGTGGGTGGATAAGAAGATAACAGCTGTCATCACTACCTGGGGTCAGAAAATTGCTTGGGGCTGGCTTTTTACTCATGGATTCATGAGACTTTATTCGCCCAGGCCCCCATGATACAACAGTGAGCAAACCAGCCGGCGGCCCTGTGCTGTGAAACACAAGCCGATGGGAGGCTTCAAATGTGCTGGCAGGTACTTCAGTAAAAGCAGAAAGAAACAAGTGGAATTAACCTTAATAGCATCTTACTGTATATTTAACCTAAGGGACCTAAAATACTACGTCTTAGATTTTACATTGTTCTTTTCCTACCAAGTCTCCAAAAGTCAGTGTGTATTTTATGCACACCGTGGCACATTTCAAGGCTTGCTGGCCACATGCAGTAAGTGGCTCCTGTACCTGGAGAGTCCAGGGCTAGAAGACAGGCATGCTCACTGTATGTCACAGTACAAGAAGGTACAGGCCGCTGCAAGAGACCATAACATGGACCTGATCGGTCAAAGGTCACAGACAACGTCCCTGCAGCAGGAACACAAGGCAAGTCATAAAGGAGAGACAGAAATAAATTGCCAAGGTGAAGCCGAGGGTTTGGGGGGTGCAGAGCACCCTAGGCTGGGAGCAGCTTATGTGAAGGATCAGGGCCAAGACACTTGGCTGGCTTGGTCAGAGAAGTGCGGGACTCTTGATCTTGGGGTTGTGAGTTCAAGCCCCATGTTGGGGATAGAGATTACTTGAAAAAATAAAACCTTTAAAAAAAAAAAAAGAAAAAAAGGATCTGGGGTCTTAGAAGCTGGTTTTCCTATTTTATTTCTAATTGTGGTTTAGAAACAAGGTAAGATAACATAAGAGTTGCTATCTCAGGGGTGCCTGGCTGGCTCAGTCGGAAGAACATGTGATTCTTGATCTCAGGGTTGTGAGTTCGAGCCCTATGTTGGGGTAGAGTTTACTTAAAAAAAAAAAAAAAAAAAAAGTTGCCATCTTAACCATTTCTATGTGGAGAGTTCGTGTTAAATATATTCCTGTTGTGAAACCAACCTCCAGCGCTTATACATCTTGTAAAACTGAAACTCCATCTCCTTAACAACTACCACTTCCCCCGACCCCCACGGACCTTCTTTGCCATAAATTCCAACAGGCTAGGACATTATTTGTGAGTTGGGGTAGGTCATGGGGTGTCAGTGCCACTATATCCCCTGCCCACAGACTCTCCTGTCGGCAGGTATGGACAGAAACAGTCCTCAGAGGGGGCGCCTGAGGAGCTCAGTCAGTTAAGTGTCCAATTTCGGCTCAGGTTATGATCTCACAGTTTGTGAGTTTGAGCCCCGCGTTGGGCTCTGTGCTGACAGCTTGGAGCCTGGAGTCTGTTTTGGATTCTGTGTCTCCCTCTCTCTCTCTCTCCCTGGCTCACACTGTCTCTCTCTCAAAAATAAACATACGTTAAAAAAATGTTTCTAAAAAGAAAGAAAAGACACAGTCTTCAGAGATTTTGGTGGATATGAATTTGGTGGGAGTGGCTCACAGTCAGCGAGAGGCTGGCCAGTTAGGCCTTGGGGACAGTTGGGAAGAGATCTAGGGGAGGCTCATGGTTGTCAGAGGGTCTCCCCAGACACCCGAGCACCCACCCGGTTCGTGGACGATGAGGAGCTTGCATACGTGATACAGCGGTACCGGGAGGTACACGACGTGCTCCACACCCTGCTGGGGATGCCCACCAACATGCTGGGTGAGTGCTCCCCCCAGCTGCCCTGAGCATGGCCATGGGGGGTGGGGTGCTGGGTGAGTGCTCCCCCTTAGCTGCCCTGAGCATGGCAATTGGGGGTGGGGTGCTGGGTGAGTGCTCCCCCCAGCTGCCCTCATTGTGGCAATGGGGGGTGGGGTGCTGGGTGAGTGCTCCCCCCAGCTGCCCTGAGTGTGGCGATAGGGGGTGGGCTGGGGGGTTCCAGCCAGTCTGGCCACCTGGGTCTGTCACCCACCAGTTAGCCAGCTCAGCCTTGTTTTCCTGCTTTCCAAACATCTTGGCAGCATGTGTGAGCCACTGCCTGTCCAGGCATCCAGGCTCCCTGCTCTAAAACCCTCTGCAACTCCCTAAGACCTGAGAGGACCCCCCATGGACTTTCTCACCCTGCCTTTTGGAGTCCTCTGCACATGGACCCCAAGCTTCCTTTCCAGTCCTTATCTTCTTCTGCTCTTTCCCAGGCCCTTTACTTCGCCCCAAGCCAGGTGCTCCAAGGCCCAGCAGGGACCAGGAGCAGGCACAGCTAAGCCCAGTAGAGATTAAAGAGGAGCAGATGCTTTGCTGTGCCCTGCCATGAGCACCGTGGCCTCTCCTCCTGCGCCCTTCTCACCTCCCACCCCATTCCTTGCCCTGCCGTCCAGGGGAGATCGTGGTGAAGTGGTTTGAGGCTGTCCAGACCGGCCTACCCATGTGCCTCCTGGGTGCTCTCTTTGGACCAATCCGACTCCGCGCCCAGTAAGTTCTCAAGTGACAAGGGGTACAGGGGAGAGCTCAGAGGAGCCAGGGCTCCAGGAAATGGGACAAGCATGCAGCCTTCCTGCACAGCCCCAGGGTTCTCTGGGAAGCCAGGGTAGAAGGAATGGGGGGAGAAGGTGAAACTGACCTGGCGTAGGATCTCCAGGGCAACGAATGAAGTCTGGGTATTTCACAGGACCCTAGGGTCTCTTGGGCCAGGCCTCAGTGTTGGGTCAGAGCAATGGAGTTGTGGGGGTGGTGGGAGGGTGGGCGGGGGGGAAGGGGTGGCAGATCCAATGTTAGTTTCTGGAGTTAGGTGGCCCCTGATTTAAATCTGGGCTTTGGTGTGTTCAAAATGTGTGGCTTTGGGCACAAGATTTTGCCTTCCTGAGTTTCTGTTTCCTCATGTGCTAATGAGGATAATAACTACCTTCTTGTCCAGGTGTTTGTGAGCATTAACTGAGAAAATGCACATCAGCTTCTGGGCACATAGCGTGCCCGGCCCTGGGGACCTTACGTCTTCTCTTGCCTCTGCTGCCCCACAGGAGCCTGCAGGTGCTGGTTTCGGAGCTGATCCCGTGGGCAGTTCAGAGTGGGCGCAGAGCCCCATGTACCCTCAATCTGTACTACGAGCAGCGCTGGGAGCAGCCCCTGAGGGCTCTGCGGGAGGAGCTGGGCATCACAGAGCCCCCCGTGCTCATCAGAGCCCTGGCCTAGGCCCTGAGCTGCTGCCTACCCTCGACCCCCGCTTCCCCTGGGGACAGAAAACTCTTTTGCCATACCTTTGTTCCTTTGAACACTGAGCCTTGGACATCATTTGTCATAATTTGCTGTAACCACTGCTGAGTGGCTTGAGGACCACGCCAGGAGGGACCCAGGAGCTGCCCAAAGAGAACCACGTGTGAGCGAGAATCAGTCATCCAGGCTGGTGTGGGGCAAGGGTCGGTGTCTGAGGTCCACCGCCCCTGTTCTGGACCACTCCCTGCCAACCGGGGGTTTTTGGGGGGCTAGGCTGGGCACCCTCCAGCAGTGAGGGCGACACCCAGTTGCAAAGGCCTGAAAAGGAGCAGGTGAGTCTCTGCTGTCCGAATAAAGTCCGCCATCAGGCCAGCTGTCCGCCTCTTCCTGCCTTTGCCCAGCTCTGCCCATGGCTCTAGCAGCCTTGGGCCTTCGATCACCAAGGGCGGGCATGCCCTCCAGCCTGAATTTCAGCTACTTGTCCTGTTTCCTTTGGCCTGAAGTCAGACAGACTGAGATTCAAATTCCCAATTCCTCCATCATTTTCCAGAGGAGGGACATAACCCCTCTCTCATTTCATCATCAGTCAAAAGGGAATGAAAACTGCACCCACTTCCTAGGATCACCGTGGGGATTTTGCGAGGTGACGCTCAGAAGAAGAACTCCAGAGAAAGGCCCCCAGGGGGGCAGAAGGCAATTAGCCTCACTGTGATCACAGGTGAGGAGGCAGCTCCGAGGCTGCAGGTTCATTTTGGAGTGGCAGGCAGGCATTTTCCTCAGGCCGGGGCCAAGGCGTGGGGACAGGCAGGATGAAAGCATCGCCCAAAGAGTGAGTGACCCTGTCTTGGTATTTAGAATGAGAAACTGTTTTGGGGAGCCAGCTCCCTATTGTGTGGCCCAGAGATGGGCAAGGAATTGCCTGAAATAACTAGAACACAGGCCACCGGTCTTTCTTGGTTGGGTTTCCTATGCCTCAGTTTCCCTATTAGTAATAAGGGCTACAGTTTATTTACAGCCGTACTCTGTGCCTAAGCAATTGAGATGCATTATTGCACTGATGCCTCCCAATAACCCAAAGAGAAAGGCATACTATTGGTTGCGTTTTACTAATGAGGCAGGAGGAGTGGAGCTGGGTCTGGAACCGGGGACCTCTCCAAAACCTCCCCTCAACGGCCACTCCAGCGCCTCAGCCTTCCTTGTGCTGCCCACGTCCCAGTCCAGGGCTCCCACTGACGGAGCTGGGAGGCTGGAGGCCTACTGTGGAACCAGGGCCTTTTCCAAGAGAAAACACTTGTCCTGAACTCTTTGAATTTCTGCAGAAAGAAGAGGGGATTAGGATGAGCTTTCCATATCTAACCCTTCTTTGCAGCATAGGCCATCTTTCCAGACCTGGCATGTTCCCGTGGCTTCCCAGGGTCCTTCCCCCAGATCAGTACAAGTCAGCAGTAGCCAGGTTAGGGGGAGAAGGGGCCAACTCACAGACAGCCTTCTCTGCCCATCTGGGGAGTTCACCTGCTCAAGCCACCTGGTGCTTGAATGACCCTGGGCCTTTACAGCATTCAAGAGATGGGCACTGGGCATCACAATTAGCTGGGAATGAAGTCTGGTCTCCGGATCTTAGGTCGTGTTTTTGCCACCAACTCAAGATTAGAAAAAAGTTATACACTGGCAATAGATACCACTTACTGAGTTCTTACCACAGCCCGTAAGGCTCTGCCAACTTCTACCTAGAAACTTCACTCTTCATCTCAATAAATTATGTTGACCCTCTGTTTTTTTGCTGTTGTTGTTGTTTGTTTTGTTTTAAAGTTTATTTTGAGAGACAGTGGTAGCAGGGGAGGGGTGGGGGTGGGGGACAAAGAATCTGAAGCAGGCTCTGGGGACAGAGCCCCAACGCAGGGCTCCAGCTCATGAACCATGTGATCATGACCTGAGCTGAAGTCGGACACCTAACTGACAGCCACCCAGCTGCCCCTTCTTCCTATCTTTGGGAATAGCATCCTGTCCCCAGGTCATTACATGGCCAACTACTTGTCATTCCCATTTGTGCTCAAATGTCACCTCAGAGAGGCCTTCCCTGACCACGCATTTGAAGAAATTCCCTCCCCCTGCCACACCATGTCACCCTTTCTTCCCGGCACTTACCACTCTGAAAAGATCTCATTTAAAAAAAAAAAAAAATTTTTTTTTTTTTTAAATTTTGAGAGAGCGGGGGAAAGGGGACAGGATCCAAAGCAGGCTCTGCACTGACAGCAGCAAGCCCCATGCGGGGCTCAAACTCACAAACCGTGAGATCACAGCCTGACCCAAAGTTGGATGCTTAACCCACCAAGCCACCCTGGCACCCCGTATTTGTTCATTTATTTACAAGTTCTTTGTCCCATGAGGGCAGGGACCTTGTCTTTACCTTAACTGCTGGGAACAGTGCGTGGCACACGGTCGGGGCTTGCTGCTTCATAGCGGAAAGCACAGACACTAAGCCCTGTGCACAGAACCCCATGTGCAAGATCACATTTGGTCCCCACAACCACCTCCCTTCACAGTGGAAACCTGAGTGTCCTCAAGTCACATCTGGGCTGTGGTGGAACTTGTTCTGCGATGCACAGGTCTTGAGTCCTCTTCTCATAGCTCAGGGAAAGCTCCCCTTCCCTCTGCCTGATAAAAGCCACACGCAGCTGGTCTCCGAGCCATGTTTGGGGGGACAGGCTCCGAGGACAGACCCGGCCCTGCCACGGACCAGCACTGCACCCTTGCAGCAGTCCTGCCACCCCTTTGAGCCTCTGGAAAATGGGGAGAGTACACACCTCTCTCACATGGGGTCGTTACGCATATGTATTGTTAGCACATAGTAAATATTTAGGAAATGGAAGCTGTCATGTGCCAAGAAGGTCCTTCAAGTCCTCTGAAGTCACCACATGCAAACAACAGCACCCAGCTTCTGCCCTTCTTAAGAACCCTCAATGGCTCTTCACTGCCCCCAGGATAAACTCCTCAGCCCAGCACACACAGGCCTTCCAATCACATTTCCCACCACAAGGTCCTCCCCTGTCCAGGTGTCCTGACGCAAAGCCTGCTGGTCTCCAGCTATTTCACAGATACCTTCTGAGTGCTGGCCAAACGCTGGGGGTCCTGTGATGGAAACCGCTGCATGCCGATCCTCTTGGGAGTTGAGTGGTTATAGCAGCTGAGGGCCTTCAACATGCCCCGCCCTGTGCTGAGAGCTTGACATGCGTCATCTCCTTGAGTCCTTACCACCCCACCCCCCAGGAGGCAGGGACTATGATGACTGTATTCCCATTCTATGAATGAGGACACTGAGGGGGCGGCTGGCTGGCTCAGTCAGTAGAGGGTGGGACTCTTGATCTCGGGGTTGTAAGTTTGAGCCCCATGTTGGGCATAGATGAGGACACTGAGAAGAGGAGATTTGCCCAGTGCCTCCAAGGCAGGGCTGGGAGTGTAACCCACATGTATCTGACTGAAAAGCAAAGAAGACAAGTCATAATAATGTGCGGTAGGTGTTGACAGAAGTACGGTGAGCACTTGGTAAGGGGCAACCTATTTAGCGATCTAATCACCTGCCTGTGTATCCAACTAGATCGTAAGCACCTTGAAGGTAGGCTGTCTTGTTCCCTCTGTGTCGCCTTGCATCTCCCCCTGCAGGCCAGGCCCAGCGTCTGGTGGAGTACTGCTTTGGCTTCACCACTGTGACCAGGCTGCGGGGGTGGGGAGAACAGGGGAGCTGGTCACCATCTTCCAAACTCTCATGTTGCCCACATTGTATATGACCTCAGCAGATGGTGTGCACGTGATCATGTTTATACCCACGGATCCTGGTGTGGATCACATTAGAGCCTGCTAATTCACTCTCGCTGTCATACATTCAACAAACATTTATCAGGCTTCTGTTATTTGCTAAGCCCTCTGGATATAATCAGATATAATCTTCACGTCTAGATTTTACATGAGCTTTGTCATCAGTGAGCTTGTAAACTACAATAATAAATACGTCAAACACAAACCGTGAAATAAGCGTGAGTAGTATGTCCTCACTTTTATATATAATAAGTGGACTCGGGCGCCTGGGTGGCTTAGTCGGTTAAGCATCCGACTTCGGGTCAGGTCATGATTTTAACACTTCATGAGTTCCAGCCCCACATCAGGCTCTGTGTTGACAGCTCAGAGCCTAGAGTCTGGTTCAGATTCTGTGTCTCCCTCTCTCTCTGCCCCTCCCCCACTCATGCTCTGTCTCTCAAAACTAAACATTAAAAAAAAGAACTGGAGGGGTGCCTGACTGGCTCAGTTGAGTAAAGCATGTGATGACTCTTGATCTCAGGGTTGTGGGCTTGAGCCCCACAAACGGTATAGAGATTCCTTAAATTTATTTATTTATTTATTTATTTATTTATTTATTTATTTATTATTTTTTAATTATTATTATTTTGGGGGGGGGAGAGAAAGAGAGAGAGAGAGAGAGAGTGAGCAGGGGAGGGACAGAGAGCAAAGGAGCTAGAGAATCCCAAGCAGGCTTTGCACTGTCAGCACAGAGCCTGACATAGGACTCCATCTCATGAACCTTGAGATCATGACCGAGGTCAAAATCAAGAGTGGGACAGTTGGGACACCTGGGTGGCATTTGACTTTAGCTCAGGTCATGATCTCACAACTCGTGAGTTCAGCCGCGTGTCGGGCTCTATGCTTAACAGCTCAGAGCCTGGAGGCCGCTTCGGATTCTGTGTCTCCCTCTCTCTCTGCCCCTCCCCTGCTTGTGATGTCTCTATCTCTCTCTCAAAAAGAAATACACATTAAAAAATTTTTTTTAAAAAGAGTGAGACACTTAACCGACTGAGACACCAGGTGTCCACCCAAAATAAAATCTTTTTTTAAAGTTTATTTTGAGAGAGAGAGTGTGTGTGCAGGGGAGGGGAAGAGAAAATCCCAAGCAGGCCCTTCACTGTCAGCAAGGAGCCTGAAGTAGGGCTTGATCTCAAGAACTGTGAGATCATGACCTGAGTCGAAACCAATAGTTGAACATAAATAGTTCCAAGTACTTATCAGACCAAAATTTCATTTCCTTTTTCATCCCTATGACTAGACCTTGAAAACTGCCTATCCCTACCTTTAAGGACTTCTTACTGGACTGCGGAATTAGTGGATGTATTTAAGGAAAAGAGGTAATTGTGGAGGCCCAACATGTCTGATTATCAAGGAACCAAATTTTCAGAGATCTCTCAGAGCCACACAGGGCCGGGAAGCTGGGCAATGGCCCAGGATTCAGCAGGTGGCACAACGTACCGGGTCATAGGCTTAGAAGTTAGCTGATTTGTTGCAGGGTCCAGGGCGATCAGAGGTCAAAGTTAGGTACAGGTCCTCAGATTCGTGCTCTTTGTACCACCAGGTGTGCCAAACTGCTTACAAGATACCATGGATGGATAGGATTCCTAGGCAGCAATCCTGACTTTATTTATTGCTGTCCCGGAAGCAGAGGGGCCAGCCTCTGGTCTGCAGATGTTCTGAAACTTGTGAAGGTACTGAAGGCCGTAAAATATCCACATGAAAGTGAGGGAGGAGGGATCAAAATTCGACTCTGGTGGGACTCGAACCCACAACCTTTGAATCACCACACCGGGACCGGCTAGAAGTCCAATGCGCTATCCATTGCGCCACAGAGCCGGTTACTAAATCCTCCCCCCGGCTCACCTCTCAGCCTAAGCCACCCTGTTAGCGTTCTTCTAGGTGTGGCTTTGGCCTCTTCCAAACACTACCAGTGCCTGCGCGCGGACTCTGGATTCTCCGCCCACAGCGCGGGCGGGGATGTTCCCCCCACTTCCGAACCCGCCGGGGACTGGGGGCTCAGGACCCACTCCCAGGGGCGAGGCTCCTCCAGTCCCGGGGGTCTCCGCGGCAGGGCCGGGCAGCGCGCTGCGGACTACAATTCCCAGCGTGCCGCGCGGGGTGCCGCCCGAGGCCGTCGCGCGCGCAGGGTGGGCTGGGCCGGGCGGCGTCGGCGCGTTGGAGCCGCGCGTAGCCGCGGTCCCTGCGGCTCTCCGGCGGTGGGGAAGGCGCGGGAGGCGGTGCTGCGGGACGGCGCAGCCGGTTTGGGGTTGCAAGAGGCGGGCGGGGGAGGAGCGCCGCGGGCGGGCGGGGCCGGGCGGCGGGCGGGCGGGGCTGGCCGGGCGGCCGGGCCATGCAGGGCGCAGAGCCGGCAAAGCTCTGCTGAGACTCGGCTCTGCGCGCCCAGGGGCGGCTGATGCCCCGGCGCTCCCCACTCCGCTTGCCGCAGCCAGGCCGCATCTGCACCGGGCGCCGCGCGGCGGGGCCGACGCTGGGTGAGCAAAGGCCAGGCCAGTGGGTCCCCGGGCGGAGAATGTGCCCGGCTGAGTCGTGGGGAGGTGGCGCCGCCGGCTGGGGTGAGGGACGCGCCCTGCTGTTGTGTCTCCTTGCCGGGCGCTCTGCTGCCCTGGCTCCTTCGGGGCGAAGGCGGTTCGCAGTGACCAGGGACGGGGGCGCGAGGTATCTTTGCATCCCCTTCCCTCCCCGTCCCATCCCCCAGCCTTCCGGGACGGGTTCCCGTTCTCTGCCCTGGCCGGCTCTGGCAGGTCTGAGGACCTTAGAGACCTTGGCATTGGATTTATGAGGGCTGATTCGGTCACCTCCCGGCTTTTGGTTTTCGCGTGGAGAAGAGAGAGATGGTTCGTAAGGGCTCCCTTGTGGCCCAGACCGTGTCCTCATCCTAGCTTGGAGACTCTCAGGCTACATCTCAGCCGTGACCTTCAGCCCCCTCCCCTAGAATCGGAGAACCCTAAAAGAAAACAGAGTCCCATCTGCTTCCTCTTGAGCAAGTCCCCAAAGCGCCAGGGGAAGAGTCCTAATCTCAGTCCAGTCAGCTGTTTCCCTTCCCCTATAGCCCATTCCCTACAGATTCATGGGAATGGCTTGCTGAGTGGGTTTCTGGGGGTGTCTTCAGTACCCTCTTGTGCTCACTCAATCACCTTTACCCTCTAGGCGGTCACCTCTCAGGCATCTCCAGGCTCCAACCTGTTTGCTCTGTCGCCCTCTGTGGGCCAGCAGAAACATGGCACCCTGCGAGTCTGTGGCCAGGCCCCTTCCCAGGGAGCTTGCCCCTTTGGGTGTTGTGGCTTGGCCTGATTATCCAGAGACCCAAGGACTCATCTTTGAGTGTTTGGTTGGGGAGTCAAGCCAGAGACACTTAAGCTAATACCCCCTCCAACCCACTTTGGTTTGAGATCCTGGATGTCAGAAAGGTAGACTCTCCTCTTAGGGCTGGAAGGGCTTCCAAGAGCAATTGTAATTTACAATAGCACAGAGGAGGAGACTAAGGCCTAAAATAGGAAAGGAACTTAACCCCAGGTCACTGGAAGAGTCATAAGAGGAGATGGGACTAAGAGGCTAGTCCCATACCCTCTGCTTCTCAGCCATGGAACTACTCATCTCCAGTCCCATGCTTCTAGCCTGCTTCAAGACAGCCGTGGAAAGGGACCCCATCCTCAGCTACCTACTCAGTATGGCGAAGCCTCACTACAGGTTGACCCTTAGGATCGTAGTAGCTGCTTGGGCCAGGAGGTAGGGAACGTAGACATTTGGCTCCACTGACTGATCTGTGCCCACAGGCCACAATGCTGCTCGGGGCGTCTCTGGTGGGGGTGTTGCTATTCTCCAAGCTGGTGCTGAAACTGCCTTGGACCCAAGTGGGATTCTCCCTGCTCTTCCTCTACCTGGGATCTGGAGGCTGGCGCTTTGTGCGAATCTTCATCAAGACCATAAGGCGTGATGTCTTGTGAGTATTTGGTCCAGCCCATCTTGGGGTATCCCATAACACGCTGGGCTTCTAACTCCCCAGATCTCTCCAGACCAGACCAGGGCACCTGGGCCCCAGGAGAGGAGCCTCTGCTCTACCTCCTCCCCCCAACAGTAGTACCTGGTATCTCCATCTTCCAAGATGAAAGTCTTCTTCTGGGGCACCTCCCTAACTTGATGCTGTTTAGCCTAGGGCAGACTTAGGGGCCCAGGACATGCGCTGAACACCAGGTATGTTGAGAAGATGTCTACGAGTCCTGAGGACATGCTTTAATTAAGTGAGATGATAAAGAGGAACCTTGTGGGTGGGGAGGACCCTGTCTTCAGGTTGGCATGAGTCTAAGAGGGCACAGAGTTCAGAGCAGGGCCCTGAATCAGATGCGTGGAAGAACCTGCTCCCCAAAGAAAGTTAGGCATGGTCTACAGGGCTGTCCTGCACGAGAAACACCTGCTGCTCCCTGCTCTGTGCCAGGCATCGGGCTGGCTCGGGGGCCCAGGGAGGGACCACACAGACCTAGTCCCGGGCCTGGCTCAGACTGGTCAGGGAAATAAGAAGGCGATACAGTAAAGCCCTAAACTCTCAGGGTTGTGCGGGCAAAGACCCTGGCCGTCTTGCTCACAGAGGTGTCCCAGTGCTTGGCACTGTGACCCGCAGTCAGAACGGGCAGCTCAGTTGTCCGAATTGATTGCAAAAGGAGGTATTGAGTGGCCACTGCAGGAGGGGTGGTAGTGGAGAGGTGTGGGAGAATGGAGAAGGGAGAGATGGCTTCAGGCGTGGGCCTTGAGGAATCAGAGAAGGCCTGGAGGACAAAGAGCTGTAGTTGAAAGGCACCTCCAGGCGACGGGAGCAGGGGATTTCAGCCGGAGGGCAGAGCAGGCATAGAAGAGTGGAGCTCTAGTGACACAGTCGGTTAGCGGTTAGCACATGGCACTTCTACGACAGAACAGGCATGGAAGTCAGGGAGCTGGGAGGGTTTGGGGGTCCGAGGTGACAAGGGCAGGGCAGGAAAAGGGGATATTGCCAAGTGATTCCGCATCACTCAGTGAAGCTCTGTGACAGGTACTGAGCGGGACCCGGGGTACAAGGCGGTAAGCAGGATGGAGCCCCTGCTGGCCTCACAGGGAGGGAGACCAAACAAATCACACACTTATCCTTTATTTACTGTGACAGTGGTCTGGAGAGGTGCAGTACAGCACTGTGGGAGGTCCCAGATGAGTTGGGACTTTGACTTGGGGAACCAGAGTCTTGGAAGACTCTGGCAGAACACTAGCCGTGGTGTTGCAGAGCCTCGCTTTCCCCCTTGTACTGAGGAGGAAGTAATCACCCCGGGTCCCTGGTGTTTTCTCGAGGCATCAGTGGGCTGGTGCCTCAATGGTGCCCAGCACACAGGTGCTGGGAAAGGGGAGTGATCGGGCTCAGGAGCCTCAGGCCTAGGAGACAGCAGCCTGGGCCAGGGTGTCAGGAACCCTGCGCCCAACCCCCGCAGTCACGGCTCCCTTGCTTGCTCCCACCTAGCGGCGGCATGGTGCTCCTGAAGGTGAAGGCAAAAGTCCGGCGGTACCTGCGGGAGCGGCGGACAGTGCCTGTTCTGTTTGCCTCCACGGTACAGCGCCACCCTGACAAGACAGCCTTGATCTTTGAGGGCACAGACACCCACTGGAGCTTCCGCCAGCTGGACGACTACTCAAGCAGCGTGGCCAACTTCCTACAGGCTCAGGGCCTGGCCTCAGGCGACGTGGCTGCCCTCTTCATGGAGAACCGTAATGAGTTTGTGGGCCTGTGGCTGGGCATGGCCAAGCTGGGTGTGGAGGCAGCCCTCATCAACACCAACCTGCGGCGGGACGCCCTGCGCCACTGTCTGACCACTTCCCAGGCCAGGGTCCTCATCTTTGGCAGTGAGATGGCCCCAGGTGAGCCCCTGGGGTGGGAGATTAGGCAGGCAGTTCCCCGGGCTCTTGCACAGACCACAGCCCCCTTCTGGGCCTGAGGGAGGCTTTGTGGCTCAGAGAGAGGCTAAGGGCACAAGCCCTGGTGTCCGATGGCCTGGCCTCTGCCACAGGTAAGCTGGAGATCCCAAGTAGGAGACTAGAAATGTCTGTGTTTCCGTTTTCTCACTGTCCTACCTGCCACATACTGTTTTCAAGACGATATTTCGCCTGAAGCACTAACAAAGTGGCTGATGCTAGGTGAGCCCTCAGGTATGATGGTAGCCATTCTTATGAATAATTAGGCCTCATTTGCCTCATCTGTAAAATGGAAACTTTTTTCTACTTTGTGCTGTCCAGCGGAGATTGTGTTTTATTTGCTGCCGCACTGAGCACTGACCAAAGCTGAGCTTGGTGCTTTAGGGGCGCCTGGGTGGCTCAGTCTATTGAGCGTCCCACTTCAGCTCAGGTCATGATCTCACAGTTCATGAGTTTGAGCCCCATATCGGGCTCTGTGCTGACAAATCAGAGTGTGGAGCCTGTTTTAGATTCTGTGTCTTCCTTTCTCCCTCTCCCTACTTGTGCTCTGTCTCTCTCTGTATCTCTCAAATATAAATAAACGTTAAAATTTTTTTAAATTTAAATATTTGTTCATTTATGAGAGACAGAGTGTGAGCAGAGAGAGAGGGAAACAGAATTCGAAGCAGGGTCCAGGCACTGAGCTGTCAGCACAGAGCCTGACGCAGGGCTTGAACCCATGAACTGCAAGATCATGACCTGAGCCGAAGTCGGACACTTAACCAACTGAGCCACCCAGACGCCACATAAATACACGTTAAACAATTTTTTTAATAAGCACTTCTAATCTTCACAAAGTCTGGTGAGGTAGAAACAAACGGCCATCTCGGCCTTACAGATGAGGAGACAGAGGTTCAGAGTGATGTGTAGACCTCCTCTAAGGTCACACAGAGGCAAGATTTTATCTTGGGCTTGACCACAGCGTCCCTTGTCCTACATTGCTGTCGTGTGGGATGATGGCCAGGGAAAGTGACTGAAATGCAGAAAGGGAGAGAGGAAGGATGCAGCAGGGAGAGGGGAAGGGGCTGGACAAATCTAAAGGGAGGCTGTGGAAAGTGGGGCTGAGGGGGCTGGGACTGGCCTGCACCTGGTGCCATGAGTACCTGGACCGCAGTAGTGCCCGGGGGAGCCTGAGAGAAGGTTCCCACCCTCTGAGCCCCCGTGCTTCCCTTCTAGCCGGCCCCCCACGGATGAGCGTGGCACAGTGCGTAAAGGCATAGGCCTTGGTGTGTGGTAGAGCAGGTCATTCTAGCCATGAGCAGGTCATTCTAGCCATGAGCAGGCCCTGCCATTCTTGGAGCCTGGTCTCCTCGTCTACATAGTGGGCTGCCGTTGGTACCGGGGCTCTGTGAGCAGGAGAGCACACGGAAGGGGCCCGCTATGTTCTTCCCCAGCAGCTAGGGAGCTGTCGCTCTCGTCAGTGTCTTCCTCATGACGAGGCTCTGGTGCTTCACCCATCCCGTTCCCCACACACAGCTGGTCTTCCCTGATGACACGCCAGCCTTGACACAAGCAGAGGTCCTGAGGACGTGGGGTTCCTGGCCTGCCCGCTGATCAGCCTTGTCTTCTCCGCAGCCATCTATGAAATCCATGCCAGCCTGGACCCCTCGCTCAGCCTCTTCTGCTCTGGCCCCTGGGAGCCCAGCACAGTGCCCGCCGGCACAGAGCACCTGGACCCCCTGTTGGAAGATGCCCCCAAGCACCTGCCCAGTCGCCCTGACAAGGGCTTCACAGGTGAGTCCCCTCCCCCACAGAGGGGTTCTCAGAGGGCCCAGGACAGAGTGCTGACATCAGGGCCGGGGCCTGGGCTCTCCTGCAAACTTGCTGTGTGACCCAGAGTCATATCACAGTGACTCTTTCTATCTGGGAAGATGGGCACAGTGACCATGGGGTCACTCTGAAGGTTGGACATGCTGATGATGCCAGGCACGGTGCCAAGGACTCAGGAGCTCACAACCCGATTCTTGGACTTGTTGAACAAGCCTTCATTGGTGCCCAAAACATGCAGGATCACATGGAGCCCAGGGAACTGCTGGGTCTGAGTCTGGCTGGGGTTGGGCCAGGGGCAGACGCTCTCAGTATTCACCTAGCCCCTGTTTGGTGCCGGCCCCTGTCGGCCTGCGATCGCTCCCTGCACTAGGCTGTCCTGCCGTCCCAGCCCCTCCTCCAGGCAGCCTTCTGGCCCTGCAGCCTCTCCTCTGTGCTCCCCGCAGCTTGCTGCACCACCCAGCGGGCAAGAGCTGGTGCCGAGTACTGGCCGCAGCCCCACCGCTGCCCTTGTGGCCGTGAGCTGCCCTCAGGGCCTCAGTCTCCACAGCTGTGAAATTGGGGGTGGTGATGGGACCTCTTTGACAGAGTGGCTTTGAGATTGAAAAAGAGAACTTTTTAAAAGCTAGGGTGTTACAGGAAGTGCCCAGTAACCGGTCATTGTTGTCACTGTGGTCATTTTATCTCTGTCATGTGTGGATTCTGTCTCCCACTGCTCTTGTAAGCTCCTTGAGGACAGGGTCAGCCTGGTGTCCCCCATGGCGTCCAGCCAAGGGCTAACATCAGCCGGGATCCAAGGGCGTGAGATGGTGGACACATAATGTGCAGCTGTCCCACAGCGTTCCTGACCTAGAACCTCCAGCCTGGTGGGGCTGAGCCTCTGCAGGAACTAATGTGCCAGCCCCTGACCTGGGTTCAGGGTGGGATAAAGAAGTGGTCTGTGGTACGGAAGCTCCCTGGGCTCCGTCCTTCCCGCAGGTAATGCCTCCCCGGCCCTGTGCTGTCCCTCCTCACAGCTGCTTGCGTGTCTGTTCTCTTTAGATAAGCTCTTCTACATCTACACGTCAGGCACCACAGGGCTGCCCAAAGCCGCCATCGTGGTGCATAGCAGGTAAGTGGCCGGTGCCGGGGCCAGGACTGTGGGATGGTGGGCCCCGGGGCCTCTCCTTCTCCTTCCCAGGGCCCGCTGAGCGCTCCGTCTGGGCCCTCCAGGTATTACCGCATGGCCGCCCTGGTCTACTATGGATTCCGAATGCGACCCGACGACATCGTCTACGACTGCCTGCCCCTCTACCACTCAGCAGGTTGTACGGGGCCCTTCCACTCGGCCTCTGGCACCCCAGGCCTCAAGAGCCTTTGCCCCCTTAGCAGGCAGCATCATGTGGTAGTAACACATGAGCTTCAGAGTCAAATCTGGGTTGGAATTCAGATGTGGCCATGGACGGGACCTCTGAATGAAGACAGCCACGTGCGCCTCACAGCATGTGCGTCCGCGTGCCGCAGGGCACCTGGGCTAATCTGACCAGTTCATTTTCATGGGTGCACACAGCCTTGCGGCTTGGTCTTAGGAGCTTAAGGGAAGGCAGGGATGGAATAAATATAGTTCCTGCCCTCAAGGTGCTTAGAGTCAGGTGTGTATTTAAAGCAGGATGAAAGATGGGAACTCAACCTGACTTTAATACGAGAAATGACATGGTGAGTGCGGAGACAGGCAGGGAGCAGGAGCTCGGCTCAAGAAAAGAGCCCAGTGATGGCCAGGAAGGCTTCCTGGAGGAGGTGCATTCAAGTCAGGCAGACGTGAGGTGCAGAAGCCAGGCGGGCTAGCTTCTCCCCCCTCTGGCTGAATGGCAGCATTACAGGTACAGGAGCAGGAGCTTGGGGCCAGCTCCAGAGGCCCCAGGGGACAGTCTAAGGCGTACGCACTTGATCCCACACTGGGGAGGTACTGGGAAGCCATGGAAGACTAGGGGAGAGGTATGATTAATTAGTGCTGGAGGAACAGGACAGGAAAGAGGGACTGGAGGAAGGACCTTTGAGGAGACGGGCTGGACGAGAGGAGGCTCTGGAGGGAGGGGTCTCCTGGCCCCTGACCTCCATGGCCCATCCCTTCGCCTTCAGGAAACATTGTGGGAATCGGGCAGTGCCTGCTCCATGGTGTGACGGTGGTGATCCGGAAGAAGTTCTCAGCCTCCCGGTTCTGGGACGATTGCATTAAGTACAACTGCACAGTGAGTGAGAAGGGCAGGTGGTGAGCCGTCCCTGTCCCCTTGTGACCCACCAGCCCCATTCAGGGACGTCAGTCTCACAGCTAAGGCCAGTTGTTCACAATGGGGCAACATTCCCATTGTTCGGATGGGGAGACTGAGGCCCAGGGCCCGTGGGGTTGGGAGGTGAAGTGAGAGCAGCCACAGGCCAGCCTCACGCCAGTTCCGCCCACAGATTGTGCAGTACATTGGCGAGCTGTGCCGGTACCTCCTGAATCAGCCACCCCGGGAGGCGGAGCACCAGCACCAGGTGCGCATGGCCCTCGGCAACGGCCTCCGCCAGTCCATCTGGACCGACTTCTCTAGCCGCTTCCACATCCCCCAGGTGGCCGAGTTCTACGGGGCCACCGAGTGTAACTGCAGTTTGGGCAACTTCGACAGCCAGGTGGGCAGCGGGGCAGTGGAGGGAAGGCGGGGCCCAGCACAGACTGTGGGTGCCGCCAGAGTCTCCACTCTCTGGTTAGGGCAGGCAGGGTCCAGCGTGGAGTGTGGGCGCTGGAGCCTCCGCTGTCTGATTAGGGTGGGCAGGGTCCAGCGCGGAGCGCAGTTGCCGGAGCCCCCGCTGTCTGGTTAGGGCGGGCGGGGTCCGGCGTGGAGTGTGGGCGCCGGAGCCTCTGCTGTCTGGTTACGGCAAGGCAGTCACGGGAGTGTGGGGGCCAGGCCCCCCAATACTGCCTAGTCTCAGGCCTGTGGCAGGAGAGCCCAGGCCCAAGTCTTGGCCTTTGCAGGTGGGGGCCTGTGGCTTCAACAGCCGCATCCTGTCTTTTGTGTACCCCATCCGGCTGGTACGAGTCAAGGAGGACACCATGGAGCTGATTCGGGGGCCCGATGGCCTCTGCCTTCCCTGCCAGCCAGGTCTGCCCCGGGGTTGGAAGTGTGGGTGGGGCAGGGGAGGTTGGCGGGGGAGATGGGACTGGGCTGGGCCAGCGGGGAGCCCTTGTTCTGACCAGTGGCTGTCACTCAGCTCTTCCCTTATGGCCACGAGTCATCTTCCCTCGTCCATCTGTCCCTCCATCCCTTATCCCCTCCACCCATCAGTCAGTTGACTCCCTGTTGTGTGGAGGACCCCGGGATTGATCCTGGCTCAGCCCCGTAGCTCTGTGTCCGAGTCCCCTCACCTGCCCGTGAGGCTGATGGCAGCGCTGCCTCCTGGGGCTGCGCCAGGGCCACCTGTGGTAAAGAACGGAGGGCTCTCTGAACAGGGCCGGGGGCCCAAGGGGTGCTGGCTCCGGTCAGGCTGTCCACATGGTGCTTGTCCACCCTTTTGTGTCGCTCATCCTGCCACCTCACAGGCGCTGCTCAGACATTGCTGAGCACCCACGTGGGGCAGACCCGCCAGGAAGCGCTCCCTGCCCGCAGGGCTCCCGCGCCGAGCAGGGCAGCGTTTCTGTGGGGAAGCAGTGTGAACGGAAGTCAGATCTAGGGCTCGTTTGGGGGTGAGGAACTGGGGGAGGAGGCCTAGCCCTGCCCCTGCCCTGCCCCCAGGTGAGCCAGGCCAGCTAGTGGGCCGCATCATCCAGCGGGACCCCCTGCGGCGCTTCGACGGCTACCTCAACCAGGGTGCCAACAACAAGATCGCCAAGGACGTCTTCCAAAAGGGGGACCAGGCCTACCTCACCGGTGGGTGGGCACCAGCCCCTTTGGGGGGGGGCGGGGTGGAGAGAAATGAAGGGACCCTCCCCACCTGCAGAGAACACCTCCCCCCGGACGCCCCAGTCCCAGCCCTCCCAGTCCAGCAGGTCCTGGGGTCCGGTGAGGCCGGCCGGCCCCAGCCCTGCCTCACGCGGCGCCCCCTAGGTGACGTGCTGGTGATGGACGAGCTGGGCTACCTGTACTTCCGAGACCGCACGGGAGACACGTTCCGCTGGAAGGGCGAGAACGTGTCCACCACCGAGGTGGAGGGCACGCTCAGCCGCCTCCTGGACATGGCCGACGTGGCAGTGTACGGTGTCGAGGTGCCAGGTATCTGTGCGGTGGTGGGAGCTGCCATGTGTGGGTGGGAGGCACCCCTAGGGGGCACGGCCAGCCCCTCACGGTCCGTGCTGCCGCCCCCAGGAACCGAGGGCCGGGCTGGAATGGCTGCCGTGGCCCACCCTGCTGGCAGCTGTGACCTGGAGCACTTTGCACAGCTCCTGGAGAAGGAGCTGCCCCTGTACGCCCGCCCCATCTTCCTGCGCTTCCTGCCTGAGCTGCACAAAACGGGTATGTCCCCTCCCCCGCTCCAGCTGATGCGTCCCAGGCCTGTGCCTGAACCTTCTTGGTTCCTTTTGGAAAGACCTGGGTAGCTGTCATTTGACCTTTACCCACAGCATTGCTGTGTCATTGGTAAACAGACCTCCCTCTGTGCAAGTGAGGACTGAGCCTTCAGAGAGAGGAGGTTCATACGTCCGTTAGCGGAACAAACATTTACCAAGTACCTATTGTGTGCCTGTCAGGCTCTGTGCTAGGCCTCGGGGATATAGGTAACAAATTCTGATGGGACCTTTGCCTTCTTTTTTTTTTTTTTTTTAATTTTTTTTTTATGTTTTATTTATTTCTAGGAGAGAGAGAGACAGCGTGAGCAGGGGAGGGTCAGAGAGAGAGGGAGTCACAGACCGAAAGAGGCTCCAGGCTCTGAGCTGGCAGTCAGCACAGAGCCCGACGCGGGGCTCAAACCCACAACCGCGAGATCACGACCCAAGCGAAAGTCGGACGCCCAACCGACTAAGCCACCCAGGCGCCCCGGGACCTTTGCCTTCTTGAAGCCTCTTCACCAGTAGGGGAGGCAGCACAGGACAAGGGATTCCCAATGTAAAGAATAGACTACATGGGGCATCTGGGTGGCTCAGTCTTAAGCTTCTGACTTTGGCTCAAGTCATGATCTCACAGTTTGTGGGTTCGAACCCCACGTCGGGCTCTGTGCTGACAGCTCAGAGTCTGGAGCCTGCTTTGGATCCTGTGTCTCCCTCTCTCTTTGCCCCTCCCCCGCTTGCATTCTGTCTCCCTCTTTCTCAAAAATAAACTAACATAAAAAAAAAGAAAAAAAGAATACAGGTCAAACTGACAGAAAAACAAATTAATGAGGGTGGGGTGCCTGGGAGGCTCCCCTGAGGAAGTGACGTTTGAGCTGAGGCCTGTATGAAAGGGCAGGGTTTGTGGGGTGGGAGGCCTACTGGTCAAGTCCTGAGAAAGGAGGCCACTTGGGCATGAGCAGAAGGAATGGAGGCCCCTAAACCTGGAGCCGGGGGAGGGGTGCGGGCAGCAGTGTCAGGTAGGGCAGAGAGAGAGGTCAGTGGGGACCAGAAGACTCTGTGGGCTGGGGAGGGGCCTGGACTATGTCCAGGCACTAGGGAGCCACAGAAGTGTTTGAGTAGAGCAGTGACCTGCATCAGGTGCATGTTCCACAGTCTTCGGGATGCCACGAGGAACGCAGGAGAGGGCTGGAGTGGGGAGATGAGTGAGGTGCTATCGCTGTTGTCCAGGTGAGAGGTGAGTGGTGGGCCCACAGTCACATAGCAGGGCAGTGCCAGCCTTCTCTCTGTTGGACCAGTGATGGGTCCCCTGATGGGCAGGGAGTCTGGGGTTCTGGCCCAGGCCTGCCCCCTGCTCACCTTAGTACTTGTTTCCTGTCCGGACTCTCCCCCTGCCCAGCCTCTCACTGGCTGCTCAGCCTCAGGCCACCTCCCATACGCGCATCAGGTCACCCCTGCCTTGCTGGAAGGCCCTCCCTGACCGGTGTGGCTCCTTCCAGGTAGGCCCCTGGGAGCACCCGAAGCAGTGGGTGACTGAGGCTGAGAGCTCCTGACGTTTGGGTGGCAGCTGACTTCTCTCTGCAGGAGAGGCAGGGAAGCTGTCAGACCTCAGGTTCCAGAGGCTTTGCTACAGGACAAACACCCCAAAACTTTGTGGGGCTTAAAACAGCCATGTTTTTGCTCTCAGTGGCAGGTCAGCAATTTGGGGTCAAGTTCAGCTGAGCGGTTCTTCTGCTGGCCCCGCCTGGGGTGGAAAAGCTGCCATCACTTGTGACTCAGCTGGTGCTGGAGGGGCTAGGACGGTGTCCTGGCTCACCTGTCTGGCCCCTGGCCAGTTGGTTCAGCAATGCCAGCCCACAGAACTGTGTGTGAGGATGATGATGTTCTGTATGTGTGCTGACCAGCACCGCAGCCACTGGCCCTGCATAGCTACCGGCACTTTTTAAAATGGGGCCGGTATGACGGAGGAACTGACTTTCACATTTTGTTTATCAAACGTGCATGATCTCCTATGGCCAGTGGCTATTCTATTGGATAGTGCCAGTCCGGGGACTTTCCTGGGATGCTTCCCCTCTGTTCTGCATGGCTTCTTGGCCTTCAGAGGCCACACAGGTGTCTGGCACTGCCAGGAGGGAGGGAGTGGAAGCTGCAAAGCTCCTTGAGGCCTAGACTCTCAGGACTCCAACGTTCTGTTGGTCAGAGCAAGTCACAAGGCCAGTTTGATTCAGGTGGGGGGTGAGAATGACTCCAGCTCTTGCTGGGAGACGTGGCCAAGCCACAAAGTGGCAGCGGAGTGTGCGTCCAGGGAGGGAAGAAATCTAGCCGGTCAGGCAATTTGTCATACCTGGGTTCACATCCCAGCTCCAGTGCCAATCAGCTGTGTGATGTTGGCCCGGGGGCTTGCCTCACTGCGCCAGTCTCCCTGTCCTGCAGGGTGGGTGCCACTGACCGAGAGACAGGGAATTCATGTGACACAGTGCTGAGAAAGCATTGCTGCCTGTTGAAACGATTTCAGAGATATTAAAAGCTGAAAATAACCTTCACTGTAGAATCCATAGAAGACAGTTGAGCACCTTCCTCCGGGGGTGATGTACAGATTAAATTAGATCACGCCCTTCCCTGGGACGTGCTCAAAGCCCAGAAGGCCTGAGCTCTGGTCCTCACTCTGCTGTCACTCAGTGTGTGTGGCCTTAGATGTATAGTTTCCTTTCTTTGGTTGTCAGTTTGCCCATCTGCAAAAAGAAGGCGGGTAACGCGGCCCCCACCCCCCACCTTTTGCCAGGGCAGCTCTGAGAAGCAATATATAATGTAATTAACTGGAGCCACCTTTGCAGACTGTAAAGGGCCATGCCCTCCTGTGCTCTAGGCCGCTTTCACATGTTCTCTCCTGCCCTCCTTCTCTGCTCCTCTTCAGCTTTGGGGGGCAGGTTCCCGGGGCTCAGGCCCTGCCCTGCCCGCTCTGATCCATCTTCGTTGCTCCCTCAGGGACCTTCAAGTTGCAGAAGACAGAGCTGCGGAAGGAAGGCTTTGACCCATCAGTTGTGAGAGACCCACTGTTCTACCTGGATGGCCGGAAGGGCCGCTACGTCCCGCTGGACCAAGAGTCCTACACCCGCATCCAGGCAGGCGAGGAGAAGCTGTGATTTGCCCCTGAGTCCCTCTAAGGGCCAGCGGGTGCTAGATCCAGAGCCCCAGCTCCCACCCCAGAGGGGGGTCGTGGGCGATGCCAGACCAAAGCAAGCAGGGCCCAGCACCTCCACCCAAGGTGCTGACCCCCTCCCCCTCAAAACTGCCAAGTGACTCGCTGCCACCTCCCCCTGGCCCCCAGGAGGGCTTTCTGTGAAAGCCTCATGTCCACGTTATGTCTTCGAGGCCAGGCGGGGCCTCTGGGCCCCAGGCTGAGATGGACTGGGCCCCTCAGGAGGATGTCTTGGGTCAGGGCAGGGGCAGGTGGAGGGCCACCAAGCACTCCCCAGAAAGCAGGGAGCTTGTAAATGGGACCAGGGCAGAAGCCTCCAGACTCAGGAAGCCAGCAGAGTGGGCAGGGGCTGTGGTGGCTGTTGGTCAGGTGGCCAAAGGGGACCCTGGCCCTGGAGCTGTTCCGGTGTCACTCAGCACTGCCTGCACCTCAGGGAGGATAGAGGGACCACCCCGACCCGCAGCAGGCAGCCTGGACTGAGCCCCCTCCCCCCATCCTCCTCTCCCTGGTGGCTGCCTGGCTGGCCCTCAGGTGGGACCTTTCTATCTGTAGGTCTGTCTATGTCACTTTCTCCATCTCAGTTCTGGGCTGGCTATAAAAGGAGGAGGGGTGGGGTGGGGGGGTCGCTCAGTGGCCAATAAACTGCCTTGACTTCCCCTAGCCTGTGTGCATGCCGCCTGAGCTCACCACCCCCCCACCCTGCTCAGGCCCCACCTCCTGCCCATGGCCCACTCACTTACTCCGACTTGGGGGTATAGAGGGTAAGATGTCTTCAGTGAGTCGGTAAGGTATTTAATAGTGTGAGCTTTAAAGTCCAGACGAGCTGTGTCACTTCTGAGTTTGTGGCCTAGGGCAAGTGACTCAGTCTCATCTGTGAAAGGGGAGTAATCAGGAGGATTCGGAGAACAAAGGTACCCATTTTGAGGAAAAGGCTGTTCAGAGCCTTTGAAGGAGAAAACCCTAACCCAGGGCAGGACTCCATCTCTGGACTCTAGCCAGTGCTGTTCCCCTTGCCTGGGGTGCCTTTCTCCAGGGGGTCGGTGGCTGCACAAGCCAGAGCGGGGCTGCCTGACCAGCTTGGGCAGAGCCCAGGAGGGCTTCCTGGAGCGGTGTTAGCAGAGCTGCAGCGTCAGCCATGCTGGTGGAGAGCCGGCTGTCTCCTAGGCCCCATCGCTGGAGTCACACCCAGGCTGGAAACGAGTGGCCCATTGGGAAAGAGGTCCAACCCATCCCACGGCAGTGGGCAGTGTGTGCCCCTGGGGCTTTATCTTCACTGTTTGACCCCCACCACTGTCTGTCATTTGCTGAGGTTACAACAGCAGTGGAGACGGGACGCTGGAACGCAAACCCAAGCCCCTCTTGCTTCCTGCTGCCCCACCCGCCTCCCCGTGCAGAAGGCAATGGGGAAAACCAAAGGAACTTCCATTCCTCCCATGCCTGTGGAGCCAACTGTGGGCCCGCCCTAGGCTTGCAGCTGACAGCCAGGGTGGAGGCGGGCCAGGATGAGGTCCGGGGTGCCTCCTAGGGAGTGACCTTGAAAGAGGAATCTGATGCTGCTCAGGGGAAAGTAGGGGGCAGAGCTGGAGTTAGGGCCCTTGGAGAATGGTGCTGAGGGGGCTTAGGGAGCGGGTGGTAGGCATGGCTGCAGTGTCCTGTTGTGGCCAGCAGAGGGCATGCAGAGCTCAGAGCTAAGTCCTTCTTGGCCCTTAGCCTACAAAAGGGGAAAGGAGGGGCTGGGAGTCCCCACCTCATCACCAGGCAGGTACCCAGCCCAGAGCACACTCCGTGACTGGTCTTTGAGGGCCCAGGGTCAGACTGCCATGGCTGGTCCTGGCTGACAGCTTTGTGTCTAACCCTTAGCAGTGAGTGCTTTCCAATGGGATAGCACTGCCACCAACCCAGCCAGGAGCCCCTATTCCTTCCTGGAGATTGAATGCAGTCACCAAATGGCAGTATGGAATGGTGGTTAACAGCTCCAGCTCGAACAGGCAGGTGCTCAAGTCCATTTTGCAGGCTAAGCCTCTGATTCTTCTGCAAATAGAGATTTAGGGTAGTTGTGAAAATGCATTGTGCCTGGAGGTCTCTTATCTCCGGGTCTGGTGCCGATATCTGCTCGGTACATAGCAGTTACAGGGTAAAAAAGGAAAAAAGATGTAAGTCAGGTGTCAAGACCCCAGACTAGGCCTGAGTTTACGACTTCCACACTGCTCCCCCCACCCTCTCCCCCGGGGAAGGGCCTAGGGAGCTCTCCCATCTGCCTCTGGTCATCTTTGACCATGGTCACGGGAGTCCCCATGCATGCAGTAGCTTCTCGATATGTGCTTGTGAATTTAACGATAGCTACTGTTTATTGGGCATTTCCTGATGTTTATATGCTGTTTCACGGTTTACAAAGTACTGTGTTAAGTTCATCTGTGGAGCAGGTTCTAAAGGCCTCCTCAGGGCAGGGGGCAGAAGCAGTGAACGGTGAGCAAGACAAACCTGGGTGCCCACTGTTGGAGAGAGGGAGCTGGCGAGGTAGACGGTGGGTAGTTAGCTGCACCGAACCCAGCATGCTGGCCAGGTAGGCAATCACGTTTCATGGTCAGAGAGGCTTTGCAAGGAAGAGTTCTCCAAGACGTGGAGGAAGAAGAGTATCCCAGACAGAAGTAGCAGCAAAATGTAGAGGCCTGCAGGGCGGATCTCGGAAAGTGGGGAGGCTGCAGGGGAGTGTGGGTCCGCCGTGGAGTAGGGTTGAAGCAAAGTATGAAAAATGAGTCCTTTGTGAGCACTCTTACTTGCACACTTCCAGATGGTGGGGGCTCTGCCAGTAGGTCCCTTATCCCTCCTTGGGTCACACCCACTTCCCTCGACTTGCTAATGGCCACCACGTATGGATCCCGTCCCTTGCCAGGCACTTTGCAACGCGCTTTGTGTGCATCGGTTTGTTAAACCGGTAAGGAAAAGCAGCTACTATTTTTATCCCCATTCCGCAGATGAGGAATATGAGGCTCAGGGAGGCAAAGTCTCGCCAAAGCCCAGTGAGCCTGTGAATGGCAGCGCTGGGAGGCCAAGCCCCTTCCTGGAGCCTCAGTGTTCCCATCTGCGACAATGCGGGGCGGGGGGGAGGCTGGAAGGAGCCGGCCCCAAGCATCCCCGGAGGTCCTACCGCCCTCAGGACAGGCAAGTGGCCGACTAGGCCAGTGCTTGGAGTATCACTTTCAATTCCTGGGAAGGAGGTTAAATACCTCCGAGGGGCCCATTGAGGCGGTGGCGGCAAGGCAGGGGGTGACCAAGTGACTTTCAAAGGGGCCTGAATGCGTGGCCGACCCCTCCCCCCAAGGAGGGGGCCCTGCTTCCTCCCAGCCTAATGATATTCAGGGCTCAGCCCTCGTCTTTGGCGGCAGTTTAACCCGAGCCGGGGCGGATTTCTTTCTCACTGATCTCAGCTTGACACCCAATTAGCACAAGAATGGGAGGAGGAAGCCTGCGAGAGGCGCCTCCCAGCCTCCCGGGGCGCAAGAGGGGAGCCGGCTGGAGACAAAGGGCAGCAGGCAGGGGGGCACCCGCGCCCTCGCCTCCCCCGCAGACCCCTCCTTTGTCTCCCTAGGAGCTTCTGAGGAGACGGAGGCCGAGCCCGGGCTGGCCGGCCTGCTGGAGGAGACAGGGGATGGGGCCCAGGCCCCTCTTCTGCGTGGATCCCAGGGAAGGGCATGTGGGTGAGCCTGACCCAATGGGAGGCAGTGAGGCTCAGTGATGCTGAAGGCGCTACGACCTGGGGTTGAGGCCTGACACTTAGGAGCCCTGGGCAAACCACTGGTTCTGAGCCTCAGTTTTTCTCATTTGAGAAATGGGGATAATGGTAGTCTCGGAGCAGTAAATCAGGTAGTGTGCATGTAAAGCACCTGGCAGGTGCAAAGTGGGTATTCAATAAATACTTTTTTTAAAATACATTTTTAAAGTTTATTTATTTAGAGAGAGAGAGACAGAGAGAGATCCCAATCAGACTCTGTCCTGTCAACACAGTGCCCAAGTTGGGGCTTTAACTCACAAACCATGAGATCATGATCTGAACCAAAATCAAGAGTCAAGTCGCTCAACCAACTGAGCCACCCAGTCGCCCCACAATAAATGCTCTTTGAATGAATATGTTAAACTAATATTGTTACGAATTAAGAGATTGAGTGGGGTAGGCTTGGGATCAGGAGAAGGAAGGACTTTCTGAGACCCAGGCACTCACAGAACGGGCTGACTTACCCAGAAGTGAGCTCCCAAGCTCTGGGACTATGTAAGAAGCTAGAAGCACCCCTGTTTGTTGAGATTTGGGAAGATGCCTCCTCTGGCCTTCCTAGGTGCCATCTCCCTCCCACCATTCCTTTGAATTTGGGCTTGTGTGACTTCTAGGAAGCCTTCTGATCCCAGGGCTGGATTAGGGGGTGCCAGTTCCCACAGGTCCCCATCTTCCCCCATTTGTAACACTGATCACACCGTGTGGTCCATTTTTACATCTGTCTCTTTCAACAGCCCCGGGAGGGCAGGGACTCGTTGGTTTTGTTCACTGTCGTGTTTCCAGCACCAGCACTGGGCCTGGCACTTAAAAGGTGCTCAGTGAATGTTTGTCAGATGGATGAAGCCCTTCAAATGCTCCCTAGCTCTCATATTCCAGCCCCAAGAAGTGGCAGTTCCAGGGGGTGGGTAGTGAGAGGATACTCAATTCTTAGAGGTGAGCTGAGTTCAGAGGCTCCAGGGCTCTGAACACCTTCTAGGAAGGCCCTTATCTTGTTGGCAAAGAAAGCCACTAAATGACTTTGAGCAGGGGAGCGAAAGGTGTTCACTTACTCACTCAACAAGCACTTACCAAACCCCTACAATTACAAAGCTCCTTACTGCAAACTAAGGATCAAAGATGAACTCAGGCAAGATTTCTGCCCTCGCAGAGTTGGGTCTAGTGAAAAGAATCTTAGAATATTTTTCCTGAAAGGAACTTAGATCATTTGGTCCCCAACCTTCTTCACAGACTGGGGAAAGTGAGTGCCAGAGAGGGAAAGTGATCAACCCACACAGCAGGTGAATATGGGGCCTTTCCATTTACCACGGGATTCCTTTGTGCTGAGGACCAGGCTGTTCTGACTTGTCTTCGCTTTGCCAGTGCCCTGGAACAGTGTCTAATACATTGGAATGGCTCTGGGCTATCCATGGAGTCAAACTACACAGAAGGCAAGGCCACAGTAAGGGAGGTGGGAGGCAGGCAGGCAAAGAAGCAGGTTCAGGTGAGGCAGGCAGGCAAAGAAGCAGGTTCAGGTGCCGGAGGGGTGGGGTGGGGGGGGTGGAAGATTTGGGGGTTGTAAAATCAGCTTTACAAGGAGAGGAATCCAAATTGATGATTTTTGGCTTTTTTAAGATTTTAAGTAATCTCTACACCCAACATGGGGCTTGAGCTCACAACCCCGAGATCAAGAGTCCCTTGCTCTACCGACTGAGCCAGCCAGGCACCCCTCAAATTGGTGACTATCTGGATATGGGACAGAATTAAGAACAATGTCTGAAGTTTCCTGCTTGAGTGTTTCAGTGTGTGGCAGTGGTATCCTTGAGATGGGAAACACAGGGCAGGGCCTGTCAGGGGGTGTTACTATCCCCATTTTACAGCTGGGGAAACAGAGGCACAAAGATGATATGGGACTTATGCACAGAAAGAGCTAGGAAGTGTTAGGAACTGGATACAAAGCTGGCAGTTGAACTCCTAGCTCTTAACCATTACATCATTCCACCACTGACCTTCAGGCTACCCCACCATACGCTACCAATGCTAAATTCGATTTGGAAGTGTGGCGGTTTAGACACCCCAGGACATCTACTTTACTCCATTTCTCCCCTGGCCTTTTGCAACAGGCTCTAGTGGTCTCCCATCTTCTTCCCTGTTCAAACCACTCACACTCCAGGAAGTAAGGATATTTTACAACACAGTTTTAATGCCGCCCCCTCCTCAAACCTTTCAAAAGCCTCGCACTGCACTTAAAAGAGAGACTGAAATTCTTACCTGGCTCCCAAGATGTGATTTGGCCCCTACCCCCTTTCTAGACTCGTCTCTTACCAGGCCCTCTGCTCCCCAACTTCCACCTTCCTCTCTTGGTGCTTCAGCATGGTCTCCCACTCAGAGCCTTTGTATCTTCTGTTCTCCTCATTGGAATGCTTCCAGAGGTTTCTCTCCACCCTCACATCCACCTACTTTACTCAGCTTTATTGCTCAGCTCATGTCCAGTCGGTTTTCTTTTTGAAGTTCCTATAACTTCAGATCACTTCTTTCGGTTAGAGACTTTGTATTTATTAGTATGATTGATCTGCTTCTCTGATTAGTTTCTCCCACTACTCTGTGAGTGCCCTAAAAGCAGGAACTCTGCCCATCCCGTTCACCACTGCACCTATAGCACTGACCGAGATGCCTGGTACACGAAGGACAGGCAGTAAATGTCTGCTGAATGAGTAAAGCCCAAATCGATAACCAACGGGGTGTCTGCATAGCTACTCGATAGCTCGGGAGAGATTTCTGGGCTGGAAATAAAGATTTGTAGTCACTTATAATTCGAGTCAAGACGAATGGACGGGCTCACCCAAGCGGTGTGCGAGCTTAAGAGAGACTTGTACCTTTTGCAAGATAGAACAGTAACGTGGCTCACAGGTACTGCGCAAAGATGCCCGGGCTCCTCGCCTAGCCGTGGCTCGCACAAGCAGCTCCCCACTCAGCTTCCGGAACCCGGTCCGTGAAAGACCGAGGAGACCCAAGTCAAGGGCGCCTAACAGAGCCGCGACCTCCCGCTCAGCTCCCGGCCCTCCTCCAATAGCTGCGGAGGATGACTCTCTGGGCACCGCCTCTTCCGCCCGTGGCGACCGGAAGTGGGGCGGGAGCGCCGGAAGCTGAAGAGAATTTCCTGTGAGCTCGGCTTCCTCAACATGGCAGCGCCCTTGTCAGTGGAGGTGGAGTTCGGGTGAGTCACAGAGCTGGGGCACTGTGGGGATGGATTGAAGTCGTCGGGCCCGGAACTCCCCTCCCTCTGCTTTGGGCCCTGTCGCGACCGAATCGCTGAGGCTCCTGGCGCCTTCCCAGAGCTACGCCACCTGCCTCCAAGAATCTGAGAGGCTCGGTCTCCCTTGGCGACGAGACCGTATGTCCGGGAATAGAGGCGCAAGCCCGGGCGTGGAGGTGTCCCCTGGGCACTCCTCAGTGCCTCGGGCCCTGCCGGACTCGAAAGGCATGACGTTAGCAGGGGGCCTTCTTACCTTCTTTGCTAATCTCGTTTTGGACCACGCCCGTGTGTCTGGCGTCTGAGCTCCTAGAACCGAAAAGGACTACCTTTCACCCCCCCCCCCTCCCAGATTTCATCCTTCGGGCAGCAGTTTCCGCTTACACGGTTCCTGGAGCCTTATTTCTCATGGGATGTGTGGCCAAGACGGCCCTCCTTCTCTTTCCCAAGATATGGGGGTGGTAAACAGACCTGAACCCCTGTCAGGTCCCTCAGTAAAGTGGCTGATTGCTTTCTGCAGATCTTGAGCCAGGCGAAGATACGGGGATAAATAAATAGCACAGTGGAGGAGAGTAAGTGGACAGCGCAGTTATACACAAGACGCGAGGAGCAGGATTGGGACACACACACCAATAGCTGAAGAACCACAGATCAGGGAGGAAGTCTCCTCAAGCCGCTATCTTCCATCCCCTACAAACAAGTTTGTCGTGTGATTTCAGAGCCGAGAGAAACTGCAGAGCTTGGAGAGAAGGCAAAGGAACTGAGACCCAAGAGATGGGTGGTATAAGTTTGAGTTACATGGAAAAAGTTGGGACTAGATGTGTGTGCGCGCGTGTGCACACGCGGGCGGGTATGTGTGAAGATAAACAAGCCAAGGCTTATGTGAAAGGAAAGATCTGAAATGGTAATCTAAAACCTCTACTCACAAATGCCTTTCCTTCCACTGGATGCCCCCAGTTTCTTTCATGTTTTCCCTTCACTGGATAGTCCATTCAGTAGTCATTATTGAGTGCCTATCATGTGCCAGGCAGTGAGCCAGGCACTGGGGATACAAAGATAAATAGAACTCTGTCCATGCCCTCCAGTGCTCAGTGTTTCTGTCCCTCAGAAGGGGGTAGTCTCATGAATGTTAACTGCATTTTAATTGACAATATTGTCTGGCCCCATGGGTCCAATTAGAACTAGGCTGGTGTGGCCTCCTGTTTTGCTTCACCGACCCTTGGCTCGGCTCTGCCTCCTACCCTGGCTCTCCCGTAGCTTGGAGGTTCTAAGAGTTTCCCTGCTGCTTTGACAGGCCCCAGCAGAGCTGAAAAGGGAGAAGCTGCAGACTACCGGTGGTAAGGTTTATCTGCAGACAGCTCACCTCTCATTCTTACCGAGTCAGACATGGTATTTGTTCATCAGAAATGTCTTCTGTCTGCCAGGCACTGTGCTGGCAGCAGCGGGGAAGTCGTGTACGGAAGGTACGGTCCTTGCCTCCGAGAACTTACACTCTAGCCTAATTATCCCTCTTCTAGCCTAAACGTCCCTAGACTCAGCCTCCCTTACCCGCAAGCGCAAGAGTGAGCCCCACAACATTTCTCCCCCGATCGACCCATCTTCTGATACCTCCGCTCACCACCACAGTGTCCCCTGAGAATTGTAGCTTCTCAGTAAGCAAGAATATCTAAGATGTATTTTAAACCCAGATCCCGTCTCTCTTTGTGTCAGTGCATGTTTTTGTCCCCGGCTTTTCCTTCATTTTCTCCATTTCTCCGCGGACTGCCTTCACCCTTCGCTGTGAACCCGAGCAGATTTGCAGAGAAACCCTGCCCACCATCCTATCCCTTTCGTTCCTGAGTGCCACTGCGATCCTTGAAGTGTGTGGTTAGCCCCTGACCAGATGTGGTCCTATCGGTCCAGCCAGCTTTGGGAGACTCTCCAGAAGGACCT